CTCTCCCATTAGGAAAATACTTCAATACACAAGTGTAGCTCTCAACTCAATCAGTACCTCCCTCATTATCCTGATCAGGCGCTGTTAGACTTCAGTCTGTTCCCAAATATGGAAACAACTCTGGTTGGAACCAATTCAGACTTGAACAATGGCATGGAAAGTGGACTTCTGTGAAAGTTGGATAAAACATCTCAAACCAAAAGCATATCAATGTGAAAGGGAATTGTGTAGAAAAACATTTAATTTTAATGTCTTAACTAAGGTCAGCTGTATATAAGACTCAGAACTTATCAATCACCCTCACCCTCAAAGTTTTCCATTGTAACTAATTGAAAAAACAGCATACTTTACATACAATAAAACTTATAAAAAAGGAAAAACAACCCCTCAAGAACAAATCTAAATTCAAGATTTCTGTTATCACAACCATAACATTTCCTTTTAGGGCTTTAATACATAGAAAATAGACTGTGCATGAACAAACAATGTCACCAACGGTCAAAACTGAAGCTCCCAATATATCGCAATATGTATCTGAATCACAATATGTTACAATACAATTTATTTGCCAATACACAGCCCTAATATTCTCTAATCCTTTCACTGTTTAATATAAGTGTTTTATGACCCCAATATAGGCATTAAGAAAAGTCTGCCAATGTGAACGGGAAGATTTCCAGTGATTTCGAAAGACATGCACAAGGCACTAATTCATTCATAATTGTTAAAAAATGGCACTCAAGTAGCGCAAGGTGTCTACATGCAAAGAAGTTTCATACCTACAAAATTTACCATCACTGACAAATCTGCCTATTTGCCTCCAGCTTTGTTTAACCCATGAATATATACAGGTGATATAGGTTAGAACTGATCTTAGTAGCCCATACTTGTCGTAAAAGGCGACTACCTGGATCAGGGGTCAGACTCGCTGACTTGGTTGACACATGTGATTGTATCTCAATTGTGTAGATCGATGCTCATGATGTTGATCACTTGATTGTCTGGTCAAGACTCGATTATTTACAGACTGCTGCCATATAGCTGGAATAATGCTGAGTGTGGCATAAAACTAAACTCACTCACTCCAGCTTTGTTTACCGGTATGCTACAAGTATTCATACAAAAATGGTTAAGGTTTTTTCACTCCTCTTGAAACATTCTGATGCATAACTCATTGGAGTTACATCATGCATTTCTCAGCACTATTTACAGCAATTCTAGTTTCACCACACGCTTTATGGTCCTAAGTCCATGGACTATCATCCACACTAACAAACTTTGTTCAAGAAAATCAGAAATTCTGAAAACAATCTTGAATCAATGTTTGGAAAAACTATAATACAAAATATCTTCCAATATTGTTCTTTGTAATCAAAAGCTTTTAAGAGTTTCCATTCACCTTTTTGCACTTGCAATCTTCCTATTTTGCTCATGAAAATTATTTGTTCACATGTCACTGCCAAACTACAACAATTAGACTATAAATGTGTAAAGGTAGGGCATTTTGTAGATATGTATCCATTTTCTGACGAGGCTAATTTCAAGGCATTCAAACTATGCTGTTTACAGCTGGTGTGATCTGTTGATCAGTCCACACAATTTAAATAAAATATATATAACAATAATAATATATATAACAATAATAATATGTATAAGACAGCTGTAGGTTAGTTTGTTGGCAGCACAATATGTATGGATGATTGCATAGCATAAAATATTTTTTCAGCAGCAATCATCTTTAGTTATGTTATTAAGGCTAACAGCAATTATCATTGTCACAGGCCCATAAAGAAAGATTCCTTCCCAATCACTGATTTACAGTGGTCCCTCTTCCATTGGCCTTATTTCATACAATATTTACTAAAACTATCTTCTTCTCATCAATCACCTCTATGTATGTATGTTTTCCATTAACTCTGAAAGTGGACTCTTGATAGTAAACAAAATCAGGTGGTAGTTTCAATGGGTCTCTGTCTTTCTATCCAAAACCTGTACATGATTTTGTTTGCGAACTCTTGTCTATTGTAGATCTTCCAAAGACACTTACAGTATCGATTTAAATGGCTGAAATGTCCACTATTCTTAAAAACAGGATTTACGAGTATGCAGCCCTAACTACCCCATGCCTCTTGAGATTTTAGGTCAGAATTCTGAACATCCCCAGTACCTGTTGCTTGTGACTACTACAGAGATGGTCACACTCTGTAGTGCCGCTCATAACAAGTCACTGAGTAAGTGAGCGAGTTTAGTTTTACGCCGCATTCAGCAACATTCCTGCTATATGGTGGCGGTCTGCAAATAATCGAGTCTGGACCAGACAATCCAGTGATCAACAGCATGAGCATTGATCTGCGCAATTGGGAACCGATGACATGGGTCAACCAAGTCAGCGAGCCTGACCACCCGATCCCGTTAGTCGCCTCTTACGACAAGCAACAAGTCACTGAAATTTGATATTTATGCTGGTTGCTCATACTTTCACTCGCCACTCTGACTGGTCAAGACCGGCATTTTACAATAACAATATGTCACAGGACTAGGCTCCAACCAAAGGCACCATTCCACACCATACTTCCCTAAAAACAGATAAAGCATTTCCTTCAATAACACAAACTATCAGACCTCGGGGAAGCTACCATATAATTTATTCCAATTTTTTTTTATGTATTAAGATTACAATATTAAATTAAAAAGTTTGAATGAATAAATGCAATGTTGCATTAAATCGACTCTCACGCCCTCTACCGGCCAAACATTATTTCAAGCGAACACCATAGAGTTATGGCCCTTGGAGCACTGTTTATGAATATCCTATTCCTATGCACAACTTGTGATTGAAACCAGTTCAGCAAACACCATATGAGACAGTTTTCGATGTACAGAGCAATTGTTTACATTCCATATATGTCAAGTGTTCTGTTTTCAAGTTGTTCGCCTCAAAGTTTCAATTATCGATTTCAGGCAAGTCATATGGGATAAGTCTTTTATTGCATCAACAGGAAGCTAAAGTGTGTACATATGCCCCAGTATATATCATATAGGCCAAAATATTGTCGAAAATGTGCGACACTGTGCCTTTAAGATACCTATCCTGTGTTGCTACTCCTGACCAACGATGCCAGTATCAGCTTTTTCTTATCTGCATGAGAGGCTTACGTCATTCAACATCCAGCATTCTTTTTAACAAAATACAAACAAAACATTTTGTCAATCTAAGGCATGCCATTTTATAATAGTAACTGGTATATGCTCATTCATCACACAAGAGATGGTTAGGTCATTTGTAAAAGCTTGAGTATATCTTCCAGCAGCTTTTAGCAATATTGTACCACTGGTATACTGTATTTCCCTATGAGGACACCAAAAATGGGCTAATTTGGGAAATCGAACCCTTGTACTTGGCATGGCTACAGAAAAAATTTGACCAGTAGGCTGCCAGACAGCTTGCTAAACACAGGATATACATATCTTGGAATTGATGCTGACAGAACTGTGTGTGCAAAAACAAATGCAAAATATGAATGAAAGTTGCATCACTAGCCCACACAAAGTGTGCAATACATAGGACCAGATTTATTAAACACAAATGAATATCTAAGATCTTTCTTAATATCAACAAAAAAGAATGCAAAGAACTGACTCATCATACTCGTCACTGGTGAGTTTCTTACTAATTAAGTCATCTCAGTGGAGGCTGTTTTCATAAACAAGTCCACAACAAATGTAACCTTCTATGAATAGAATCTACAAGAAATATGAGTTATATGAAAAATACCAAACCAATGAAGCTTCATCTTATCAAAGTGCAAGTATTAAAATGATATTTGATGCTACTTACAGTCACTGCTACTGTCTAAAAACTACTTCCTCTACAACCACCTGTTCCCTTGAGTTTCTCATGGTGTCATGGTTATAGGAAACAGACTGACTCTCTATTTCCTTATTTTAAAAAAAACCTTCTTTCTACCTACAATGTATCAAAAGCTACATCTGTACCTACGCTAACAGTGCTGCATGTAGCGTATTTATCTATGGGGAATCACTATTTAGAGCTACCAAAACAAACCTGACCTAGAAAAATTGACAGCTTGCACTTCCGATGAGAAGGCAACCATAGTTGTCAGTTCAACTACCAAAGTAATCAGTTCGAAAATAATAACCGCTTCGTGAAGGGTATTTGCTTTGGCAGGTTGTCCGCTTTATTCATTGATGTCAGATAGAAAGCAACAAGTGATAATTAGGTTTCTGCAGACGAACTTATATTCAGGAACTGATGCCGTGCTCGCCATGTTGAATTTCAGCTGACCATAGAAAATATCAATACAAGGCTTCTGCGATCGCTTATTTTCGACGTGATCTGTAAATTAGGAAGCTGAGGACAAGAGTAGAACCATATGAATGAATAATGTACCCTAAGAAACCTTTTACTCGTGCAGGTAAACGCAAAATGACAGCATTTTCTCAAGGAAACGCTGACCCGACCAGTGGACAGAAGAAAACATGGACCCTGTCAAACCGAAACGCAGTCATTGACAGCGCATAATGGTGAGCAAAATGTAATGCCATTAACATATCGTATCAGCACTTATATTTAAAAAAGAAATTCACATAAAATTGTACCTTGAGCTTGCGACTGTTGCTGCTCGTCACCACTCAGCTCCCGATCCGACATGGTGCAACCCGTCCTGAGCAAGCCTCCTTCTAACACTTCATGAATAATTCATGAGGTCATACACGTATCTCGTGCGCTGTCAAACGAGTTTGAGATTTTTGTTTCGAAGGCGTACGTTCAACCTTGCAAACTTAGGAATGTGACAGGGAAATGAATATTTTTCAATGCAAAATTAATTTGGTTAACCCTTTCCTGTCGGAGAGCTCTATTTTCTCTCCATACCTTGTTCAGGTGGTTATCTAGTTCGAGGTCGATGTTTAGGTACTCGGAGAAATATTCTGATTGGTCACGCGCTTTGACCCGTTACGTCACAGAGGTCACAGTTTGTTTTCAAAATAGTGCATCCACGAGGAATATTGACAGGTCGAACCTAATGAGGTATGTTCATATCAGCTATCTTTAGAATTGTGTGTGTTAATCAAACAATAATAATAACACACATAGTCCCACACATATACATGTACTACCTCATATCAAAATTCTCGACAAATCTATGTTTTCTATATCAAGACGCAACTGTACAATGTCAGAATGTGGCAAGCAAAATGTTCACTCATACTTATTCTAATGTAAATCACGAGGTGCAAATTAAAATGTCTTATACGTCTATCAGAATTAATGAAACTAGTCATATGATCATAAAGGCACATACACAATACTATGCATTAACAAGGAAATACTTTGGGTTGGGTCTTTTGTTGTTTTTGTTTGTTTATTTTATTTTATTTATTTTTGTACTCTTTTTATGGGGACTGACTGACTGACTGAGTTTAGTTTTACGCCGCTTTTAGCAATATTCCAGCAATAATCGACATAATCGACGGCGGGGACACCAGAAATGGGCTTAACACATTGTGCCCATGTGGGGAATCGAACCCGGGTCTTCGGCGTGACGAGCGGACGCTTTAACCACTAGGCTACCCCACCGCCCCTTTTATGGGGGAGGAAGGGGGTTGGTTTATTTTATTTTAATTGTTTTTCTAAGGTTTTGTAGTAATTACATAGCGATTATACTCCACGAAAGCGAATTTCTTCTGACGTACAAACAATAGATATTGTTCATTGTAATAGCGAGCATAAAGTGGTGATTATGAGATCCCAGGGTGCTTATTTCGAGAGTGAAAGGTGTACACGTACTTGCGAGTTATAAGTCATAATAAGAGGCGTTTCCGTCATGCGTGCGAGTTAATGTCTAACACACGAAGAGAAGGTGAGATCGTCGAATGACATATGTTATTATAGTCACTGCCTAATATATTATCTGTGGGGAAATTGTAAATAATAATCCCATGTAAGACTAATATGAGAACAATATTACTACCTAAAAATCTTCAACTTCTGTCGTTATCTGAATATGACAGATATTAGTGCTTTCACATATCAGTAACACCTTGGATAGGATTTCTTTGTTTCCTATATGAATTTCTCTAATTTATATCGGCGTTGGTTTGCATTACATTAATATTTGAACATATATGATTTTCATAAGTTGCGTTTGATTTTTAATCTCCTTTCGGTTGGAAAAACGGAGGATATAGCGATCAGCTTGTCCGTCCGCCTGCCAATCGTCCGTGTACCGTTTCCTGGTCAGAGCTCATAAATAGTCAAATAATTCTTGTTTAAACATTGCTGTACAGTTTAGTGTAGTGAGGAACGGGTGCCTTTCGATGATTTAGAACTTTTATTTTTTAAATTTTATTTATGTTTTCATGATAAAAACAAGTTAGACCCATACTGAAAAAGAGGGTAATTTTTCTTAGTGTTGGTTTCCGGAGCCGAACTTCAAAACCGTTGAAAAGTAGATTTATCCGCAAAATTTAGGGTAGCCCAGTTTACACCGACTCGGACTGAGATTCGGGGAGGTGCAAAATGTCATTAACCTCTGCAACTGTTGTGATGTAGTACGACCGTATTGCTTCGAGAGATAATTTCCTGGTCCCGATCCACAAAACGTTCGTAGCGCTACGACATTCGTAAGCCTATGATAAACTATAGGGTTACGACCGCTTTGTGGATTGGGACTCTGATTTACAAGTGCTTCTTATGAAAGTAATGTAAGTAATATCAACCAATGTTTTTACGTTACTAACGAAGCAGATATTCTCGTTATAACGACTTTGTAAAATGCGAAAGGTTTAATTTATTCTGGTATACTAACGATTTGAATGAAATCATACTTACAAACTGATCCTCGTAATTACTAGGTTGTTTTTGTCTTTTTAAATGACAATGTAAAATAGTGCAACGGCATCCAGAGTTGTTAAATGATAGCCTGTGTAGATTTTAATTTAAACCATAAAGATAATCTCAAAAACTTTATACATGTTATTTACACAATATACCGGTTCTTAGAAAATATATTGCAATACCTATCGTTTGAAAAGCGTACAGCGATATACCGGTATACCGGTAATACCATGCAGTCCTAATTTTGATGCAATGATATAAAGAATACAACCACAATTTTTTATGCAGTGGTATAACGAGTAGAACCGTAAACACTGGATTTTGAAAGCCTAACATGCCGGACGAACATTTTTAGGTTTTGTTACATCCACCTTCCCACTTTTCATAGATTTAGAAATAAGGAGAAGCGTTATATTTTAGTTTTTATTGGATATGCGTGTACATGCATACATATATATTGCTGGTTGGATGCAAGGGGTTTTGTTTTATAAAAAGATTTAGTTGTTTGAATTTTTGGGTTTGTTTTTTTTAATTACAAACCATATGTCCTTGTGATTTCGAACCAATATACAAGTTCCGATCAGAAATGTTTAGAATCAAACTGTTTTAAAATAAAAAAATTCAACAAATTTCCCTTAGTCTCATGGCGTTCTTACAATTTCATAAATTCCCAAGACAGCAAAATCAGAATTATAATTTTTTTTATTAAAACAATTTAGAAGGGAATACGGTTTTTTAAATAATGAATTAGTGTTCTACTGAGGATTTCTGAAATGCGTTCATCGTTATCTTTTCGTATATGTAACAGCACTTGTGTTAAGGTCAAGGTCAATAGAACAACAAGTTTCAGTTGAAAACAGACAAGTGACAGTAACATGCCATTTACAAATCGTTTACAGCGAATGGCGTTTAGCGCAGCGTATAGTCCGTGGCGGTTCTGCCCGAAGGTCACCGGTTCAAGTCCCAGTCGCATGTCCATCATGAATGTAATTTGCTAGTCTGAAGCTATAATTGTTGTAGGGGTATCAATACATATATTCAAGTACAGAAAGTCAGCTGCTCTAAATTGACAAGAATTTTGGAGGTTCGACTAAATAAATACATGTATTACATTTGTGGAGGATAATATATTTGTCAGTGTGACAACGCATGGGATTAAATCCTTGAGAACTGGATGTGTTATTATTGGCTGATAATCTTTATAGGAATACATCTAGTAGCACAGCAAGTTTGAGATTAGTTCTGGTTTCAAAATCAATATATTGTTGGGGGAACTAAACTGCGAAATATCTGTATGGAACGCAGAAAGCACACTGCGCAGGAAGCTGAAAAGATTATGTAAATCTGTAGCTCAGCGTGTTCATGTCAGGGAGAGACGATTTTATTCTAATTGTCTGCAACAGACTTTAACTCAGTGACCATAAGAACAGGAGATCTTTAGAGGGAATGTTTACCCATACTGTGAGTTGTATGTCTTTTTGAGATGGAGATGCCAAAATCGAAATTATTATTCAAATGTCGAGTATGTTTAATTACCATCCGCACTCAATCAGAAACTGTTATACTTTTGTGATGGATACATAGATGTCTTATAAAATTTGTACCGTAATATTACTATTTACATACAAGGACATAATTATCAGAGCTGCATTATCGATTCCTATGTACATATAGATATCAACAGTCGCAAATTAAATTTCTCTGACGCATATTAGATTTATTTGATTGTTGTTTAACGCCATACCGAGACATATTCCAGCTGTATGACGGACCAGATACTCCAGTGACTGACGTCATGAGCGTCGATCTACGGAACTGGGATACGATGACATGTATAATAATAATACTGGAAATTTATATAGCGCTAAATCCAACCACTAAGTGGGTGCTCAAAGCGCTACAAAATAATAATAATGATGTTTGAATAGAGTTAATCTGACCTCCAGACCTCGATTTCTCGAAACAATCTTAAAATCTCAATTTTGAGAAAAAGCAGCAAAATGCATTTCCCGAAATAAACAGTAATCGATATTTAACTCAAATTTAGTAGACAATTTGAGATTGATAGATAAATTACTTTAGCTTTTTGCAATTAACTTTTTTTAGTGAAACGCGAATGAGTTAGAATCTCAGCAATTTTACTGTTACAAATTCTTAAACTTATTTTGAAATTTGAGTATAAACGTAAGTTTGTTTCCAGAAACCATGAACCGTTTACTTTAGAATTATGTGGGTGTTCCTAAGCTGTAACGATGACGTCACTGGGCGATTGCTCGCCTTTCAAAGTACCACACGTCAGGGCATGGGCAGCTTAGGTCTTAGCACTATATGAAAGCCATCAAGGTATATACTGTCACTAACGGGGTCTTAGCACTATATAAAATGACTTTTTATATAGGCAAGACCCCGTTAGTGACAGTATATACCTTGATGGCAGTTTTTGGCGTTACAAGCCCCTGTGATTATACACACCACATAAAAGATCAACATGACGTTTTGACGTCAACTGTATTGTGACGCACTAAACAATGTAAACAATGTTGTATGTATTATGTCAAATACGGCCTTTAGATTACATCAACAGTGTTTGTGTGCGCGTGGAATAATATATACGTGCTTCGCATGAGGTTTTATTACCCACATACTTAGAAATATCCGCGTTTATAAAAATCGTACGCGCGCTGGGCAAATAGCAGTTCACGCCTAGCAATGTATTGTTTACGTCACCCGAACAACATTGTTGACGTAAGGTCGAAATGACGTCAGAACTCGCAATATTTCATGTATTTCACTTGCTCAGGAATATTACAACCAACCATCCGTAAAATCACCATGACACACATGCTCGTATAATTTCTATAATGAATAGCATCATCGATCCGACAAACAAGTCTGATAAAGTGAATGTCACACACACTTCGATCCCTTCCGTAACATTCGAGATAAATTATTATTTCTTTGTGTTTTCTTTGTTTTTGTTCTTTTTGCGTTCCTTTTTTGTCATGGGATTGCTTCTACACGCAATGCTGCAGAATATTTGCCACTATATAACATGTGGGTGGATTTACTCATTGTGGTAATACGCGGTTCTTACAGTGAGAGACTGTCACCTTGGTGTAGTGGGCCAGAGCATGTGCCGGGAGAAGGGAGGTGGTTCGATCCCCGACCACGCCATACAACAAGACGTTACATGATGATGGTTGGTCCCTGCCTGGCGCTCGGTATTAGGGGAATTAATCCATGTTAACCTGCAGTCTGGTATCTCTATAAAAGCACTATAAAACGAGCATTAGTTCGGGCAACTACTACCGCGCTCCTCACTGGGTATGTGCAATAATCGCTGTTAAAATCAACGTTACGTCACTTCCTTCAGTGGCATGAAAACACCTCTGAAACTACAGTCATCCTAGAAATGGCATTGAGAAAGATGAAAAAATGGCAAACGGTCCGTATAATCCCAATTTAACTCCTTTAGGATTCGATTACACTTTCGGCTAATAATCTGTATGCATTACCTAATATATTATAATTGTATATATGATAACTAGGTTTGGATGTACGTGGAATTATGTCCAGGAGTTTTCCAGATTGTAAGGTTTGTTATTTGATGACCTTTGTAACATGATGTTAGGTGGACGTAATGGTCGTCAATCATTGGTCGAGCACGTTGGCGACGTTGCCTTCGACTCACAGACGGCAGAGCACGTTGGTGACGTTGTCTTCGAACCACAGATATCATAACACGTTGGTGACGTTGTCTTCGACCCATAGATGGCATAACACGTTGGTGACGTTGTCTTCGATCCACAGATGGCATAACACATTGGCGACGTTGTCTTCGATTCACAGATGGCATAACACATTGGCGACGTTGTCTTCGATTCACAGATGGCATAACACGTTGGAGACGTTGCCTTCGATTCACAGATGGCATAACACGTTGGAGACGTTGTCTTCGACCCATAGATGGCATAACACGTTGGTGACGTTGCCTTCGATCCACAGATGGCATAACACATTGGCGACGTTGTCTTCGACCTACAGATGGCATAACACGTTGGAGACGTTGCCTTCGATTCACAGATGGCAGAAAGCGCTGGCGATGCAGCGGCGAATGTGCAACATTTCCTGACCATGACCGGTGTAGGGGCGTCATGGTGTGTGTTGCGGTGTCAAACATGGCCAACTGATTTGGTAGTTGCCAATGGACATCTGACTGGCCATTTTGACAAGTTAACGAACTTCTGCGTCCTGATGTTGTTCAATTCGCTGAAATTATCAGCAGATATTTGAACTGCAAGATGAAAATGCCAGCTCACACCATTCGCTGGTCATCAACAATTGTCTCCTACAGCCCACTGGAGTTTCATGACGTTCAGAACATCTCAAGGATGTTCTCGTGCGGAGAATATACTTCATAGACCTTGTACCTACAAACGTGGTCATAGTTAGGTAGATCTCGGGTGGGAAACGGGAGGGCACACAAGAGTATCAGCAGTATACCATCAAGGCATCGTATCGCCCTGTATGATGGACACCAGATATTGATCTGTACGCCTGAAATACACTTTACAGACATGTATCCTCGTTACGCCGTCACTGTCATGTTATCTGTTGGGCTTTTTTTGTCGGTAGAATTTTTAAGAACGTTTATCCAAACGTTACTCAAAAAAGATATATACTATCCTTTATGCATTTTGTATAATTTGTGATCGCGGTGAGTGGCCGTTTTAGAGAGGTGAGGTGTCTGAGACGACAAAGTACGATGTGCAGAATTAGATCCAACTGGCGTGCCAGAAACCAATGACTCGAGTTTTCTGTTTGCTCTAGCCGTAGAATTAAATATAATATCCAAACTTGTTATGCCGCTGTGTGATCAAGTGATCGTTAAGTGCGAAATCAGCAAATCTCTCCAAGGGTGAGTGAGTGAGTCCCCAAGCGCAGCATCCTCGATTGTCCAGTGCATCTTATTGTGATTGTTTTAATGCCATACTTGATAATCAATAGGATCGTTACGTGAAAGATCAATAGCTGGAGAAAACCTTTACTAATAATTGCTCCCTATGTTTAACGTTATTAAAATGAATAAACATTCAAGCACACTGTGTGTTAAACAACACCTGGTAATGTTACTAAAGTACTGTTGGAAATAGAAAAAAACTGTTTTTTCACATATATATCTACAATTTATGAAGTTAAAATTTGAAAGTGTGAAATATCTGTGAAACTAAGTTCGGCCTAACTACAGTCTCAGTGGTAGGGAGATAGGAAACGTGAAAAAAGGACTTTACTGAGGAGAGATTAGTGCAGAAATGAGCAATGCGTGTTTTTTCTAAGTCCAAAGCAACTATTTAGAACAGACCATGGCTTTATGCAAATTAGTAAGCGATGATATTGTATTTCAAAGGACACTTTTTAAATGTCTATTTTGAAACTAGACTTAGCTTCATTATAAACGATAGCTGACGTAAAAAATAATAACTTTCATGCTGAAACTATTAAGTATGTAGCTACCATGGAGTCTCACTGTCACTATAAAAAGAAACAGGTAGGAGAGGTCGTCTCAAAAGCAAAACCAGGACGGGTGTCGCAGACGGTGGTTGGGGTCGTACTGGGGGATGGAGATATCACCTACGATAAGATAATCCTTTAGGGGAATTAAACTGGTGGAAGTAAACGGCATGTCTTAACAATTAACAAATAATATCCAGTCCTGTCGATCTTGGGGTGGTCTTGCCACCTATATATTTTGAGACATTTAATACGATAGTTTGATTTAAGCTTTTCTATGGGTATCATATTCTTTTACACATCTCAACATAAACGTTATGAAAGACACGTAAGATGATAATCAATAGATGAGACATATTCAATACACATGAAAAAAGCATAAAACATCTTTGAGATGACCCCTTGTGCCTGTAGGCAGCACGTGCATTTCATGCAAGGTGAGTCGACGATCCGTCGTCATACCTGATTGAGCGACCTAATTGCCATCTATAGTCTGATCTATTGTTTTCAGCAGCTATTCGTATTTTTTCTAAGTTTTGCCCTATTTTACGAGTTAACATGCACTTCTGGATATCCTATTACGCATCCCACTGAACGCCCAGTTAGGCCGATGTGGGTTATTTCGACATGTGCTATTTGCAGTTGTGTAAAGTTTAGGGATACAGAGTAACAGCCTAAAAACAGTTTTTTTCTATTTCCGACAGTACTTTAGTGATACAACACTGCCAAAGCACCACCTCCTCCTCCCTCCACGCACCCCAGTCTGGTAGTGGTGACAGCTACCCTGTGATCTGTGACGGTGTACAAAGGAATTATATCCCCGCGGGAAGAAGTTGTAAAGCCCTGGCTAAGTTGGCAGAATTAATCTGGTGATCAGAACCCACCGAAACAACAACTCCAATGTGTAAAGCATAGTTCCAGGTACACAGCAAGTCATAACCCATAATGCTTGAAGTGTGCCTCCACAGGTGTTCGCTAATACTTGAACTCGTTAAGTCGCTTAGCATGTGTTGGCTCTTCGGCCGTATGTGTGCAGATATCAGTGAGTAGTGTGTTGCCTTGTTCGTACATATATACATCATATTGCAGACACAATATCGATCGAGAGTGGTGACTTCGGTCACATTCAGTAGGTATGTAACATGCTCTCTTCACAGACGTGTAATATAATCTGCCGTAGGCTGGTCTCGTATGTCATGAACTGAGTATATACTGTGCTGTGCTGAGGGCTCCGTTCATGTGTGTATGGTGGCTGACATCGCCATTGACGCATTGGACGGAAACATGTTATCCCGTACTTGTGTGGTAACAGTCAGCGGCATTTACGGCACAGAGCAACGTCAATATATAGCATGGTATCCATCTTAGAGATGAGGAGCTTCTTGACATCAAGTTGTCCACACATGGGGAGGTTATTATTCCCTGAACAAACGTATTCAGACCGGGAATGCTCATAACGGAAGAGTTATAAGAGACACAGGACATCAACTGCAGTCAACGTGTTTCCTGAAACCGGAAGTGACGTTCTAAAATCAGAAGTGTTCAATGGAATATTTCGCTATGGGAGCTAGAGAATACGATATTCTTTGTTGAGGCATTATACAATATACATGTATATTCTAACCTCGAAAATGAAGATATAGGATGCTTATAGGTACATTCCTATTCAAAGATGGTCAGTCGGACGCTTCTTGGATGTAACTGTTTAGTTTCTCAAGTAAAACATCAAGTGATGTATCGGGTGAAACACAACGTAGTAGGTATGACTTTGGCCCGATAGAGTAGCATATGAGATAATGCAGGTTTGTGACATCTGTCATGTCATCTTGGAAGGGTAAACTGAAGACGCGCAATGCCTCTGGTTAGAATTGGCCCTGTGCAACACATGCTTGTCGTAAAGGGTATCTGTGATGTGGGGAGAGGTGACAAATAGATGGTCAGGCTCGCTAAACACTGTATTGTGTGGTCCGACTCGATTAGTTACAGACCTCCTTGATACAGCAAGAATAATCCTGAATGTGGTGTTAAACAACATTGTAAACCAAAAGTCCCTGTGTTCTTTAATCTGATTAATACATGCGTATTAATACATGCAAACATCGCTCACACCATTGTGTTGATACGTCGTCAGCTGTGATGACATCCTTCAAATCATATTGTGTTGTAAAGTCCGAATGACGTCACAAATGAGCAGTTCAAGATGCTACCATGGGAGACAGCCGAAACGGCCGGCAGATGACATTGCACTGCTGTACCCGTACTCTATGTCAATGAGTGCAGACACAAACACGTGTATTGACCTTTTGGTTTACTTTTGTGTTTACAATGTCGATAAACATCATGTGTTGGCCAATTTCCGGGTGTTATTGAGTATTTGAAGCACGGGAATTTTTCATTTGAAACCGCCGGCTGACGCCGTCGGTTCCAAATGAATTCCCGTGCTTCAAATACTCAATAACACCAGAAATTGGCCAACACATGATGTCTATCTCCTAAAACAAACAGCAAAGTGAAGGCCTGACCCTATCATCATCCTCCCTGTCTCCAGGTTTGACCTCGCAGCAGCAATAGCAGTGGCGTCCTCCTCGAGCACCGACAACGGGATGCACCAGTACCTCAATGGCTCAACGGTCACGTGCAAGTACTCCGCGGAGTTCCGGGGATTGGTCTATAAGGTTAACCCACATGACCTATCGTGCGTGTACAAACGCATGTTCGAGATGTGCGCCACGAACGCACTGCGTGACCTTGAGGTAAATGAGTGGCTTCACAAAATGGGGGCTGATTTTGGAGGGCCAGAGCGGATGTGTGCGTCACCGGTGGAAACAGAGAGGCGTCATGTTGCGTCGAGATTAGCATTGATGCAGAGCAACTCCTTGGGCGTTCTCAGCCTATATCCTGCCGAGGCCAACAAGCAAACGAAAGTAGGTATTCCTTCACAGTAACAGAAGGTGTATATAAATATACAATGAAGGTTCTGACATCAATTTTGTTATTTAACTGATGCTCCTAACGTACATCTCCATGATCACAAGCCCTACTGCAGGCCGCCGCCATACTTCTCTTTTCGGATTCACTCAGTCATTAAACTATTTTCGTTTCTTGAATGCAGACTCTCCCCACCTTTGATGGTTTTGAAGTATTTGGCAGGTTTTCAACAGTTAGGCTTCGTTCGGTCATACAAACAAAACCATCTCGAGTTAAGATCGCTATACAGATCGCTATACAGATCGCTGTGGTTCGGGGTCTGCTACAGGAGTAATTGGTTGCCCTGCAACATCTTTGCATTTTCTTAGCCCAGTAATATGATACTACAATGTGACATTGGGTAACAAACACATGGTGGACCATACGAGCATGGACTGCCAATTCACCGAGCTTAGACTCCCTTTAATGCACTGTGCATTACGTCAACCCTTGTGAATGGAGTAATACAACTATGTATACGTGTGTGTTTATGTTTTCAGCACATTCAGGGATGGGAGACTTGTCGGCGACCGCATTCCTCCTCCTCGCTCCCCGAACACCGATTTATGGTGGCAGACGTCTCCAGAAAAGAAACACATCGCAGTCAGTCTGCGCTGGGAAAACTGGAATGTGGCGGGAAAGATGAACGTCTACGCCCCATTCGTGCTACCAGTGTGCAGTGTAGGAAAGCCACGTCGTCTGAGGTGATTAGCAATAAACAAGAGACATCACAAACCTCGAGCACGTACACCTTCAACCTTGGCACCACGCCGCAGATCAGCTACCGGTTCCTCCACCACAACGATCTCGACTGCTACATGGAACAATACAGGTCTGTATGATCAAAGACCATATGATTGACCCATCTTAACTTTACTTATTGGCTAAAGGTTGATAATGAAATGATACTCGGTATTGTCTATGTATGGTGACATGCTCTGTTTTCTCTGACTCGAGTCTCCTGAAAGCCGCCCCTACAGACCGACGTATATCGGTATTAGGTACTATGTGCTAAACAGTTTCTCTTCGATTGCAGGGAGCAGTATACGTACAAGCGCTTGGCTGTGTTAAGACCCAACGTGAACGAGATGCGCCCGTACCAGATGACCCTCCCTGTATCCCCGCTCCTGCGGTGTTTTGATATGTTTGGGTGTATCCAGCCACCCCCGGGCTGCGGGCCCCGAATGAGCCTCAGTCGCCTTCAGGCCGCCGGAAGCACCCCTCCAGGCCGGACTTCGCCCAAGAAGCAGATTCGGAAGAAGGTGGTGAAGTCGTCGGTGAGAATAAACGTACTGGCGTTTCTTTCTCTGTCCTTGATGAACTTAGGTGATGAATAGCGTCAAAATATCTCAGCTGAATGAAAACTCAGCCTTTCTTTACAGGTCTTGATTATCTGAATATACAGCATTTTGACGTCAGCTACATATGTCCTTTGTCTGGTTAGACGTCCAGTGATTGATACGTTTCATTGCTGTTTATTGTCAGTACATGGTGACATGCTCTGTTTCTCTGACTTCAGTCTCCCGAAAGCCGCCCCTACAGACAGACGTCCAACGTGCTGGCAGCCGAAAATGGCGTCCTCAAGATGGAATTCCAGGGGCAACCACTACCACAGGTTCTGCCTCCAGCAACAACTCAAGCGCTGACTAGCGGCCGGAAGTCCTCCACTAGCGTATACAGCGACCCTTGTCTGTCGTCTGTCTCTGTCGGCAACATCAAAATCCCCATCATCAGCCGCACCAGGCCCACCATTCCCAGCAATGCCCATGGCACCATCTACGCCTCTTCCACTGAGACCCCGACATACGTCGTCTCATACCACAAGAACAAATGATTTTTGGCATTGTTTCGGTGCAAATCTGTTCCGACCAAGACCTCTACATACGAGGCTGAGACAGGGGTTCGTTGTGGTTGGTCCACGAACTTTATCCGTCTCTACGGGAGGTAACTGCTGAGAAATATCAAGATATGCTGCATGGCCGTGCACGTTTGAGATCCACATCTACATCTGGGAACAGCTAATGCGTATGTAAAGTATAAGAACAACCATCAACAAGTTGTGAAACTCCTGTTCAACATGCATGACATTATCAACGGAATGTCCTGTTTCAGTGTACTCGTGAGAAGACGTGCAAATAGGTAGTCAAGCATGTCATCATTCCTTATAGGGATACTCTGGCATACTGTAGTAACCATGCCGGCGCTCGCTGTTGGAGCGGCAACCGTGAGGGTATGAGGTGTCATCTTGAGGTATTGGCTGTCCTTTAGTATACATCTTTTCCCTGATATGTACCTTGAAGAAGCGGTATACATGTGTTGACGATCTGGTGTAATTACTTGATGTTCTTATTGTATGTGCCCCTGTTTCTTCATAAGGGTTATTTTCTTGCAATGTTATATGAGTAAAGCCACACTTCCATCAGGTGAGAGAAGCGCTGTGAGGCAACACCTTCGAACAGTGGATGCTGGAACAAAAAACAGCGTGGTATCTAAATTTGTCCACCACGTCAGGTTAACGATGTAGGGGAACTTTGTTTTCAGCAGTAGTGTAGTTCAACACCAGTGATGAGAATGTTCGTTGGGATTAAATGAGTTCCATGCAACACGTGGTGTTCCTCGGAGCGTGTTACTGTACCCCAACACATTGATACTTATACCCATCTGTTTCTGAATTTCTAATGTTTGTGTACAGATGGACAAAGTGTGGTCAGTAGCTTCAGAACAATGCGCAGTGACCATCTCCCAGCAGTGACCTGTCTCGACTGACGTGCAATCGACGACGAAGGTCCGCGTTAACTCTCACTGGTTGTCTGTACTAGGCCTAGGTCCGACTGAATTTAGATGAAGAAGAAGAACAACCACATCAACAACACTGGTTACTATCGCTTCATTTACGTCTTAAACCCCATTCCAGATCACACTGTAATCTGACCAGTCCAACGACGGTCAGCCGCGGCTATAATCTCGGCCTAAGAAGGCTGATGCCGACCAGCTTACCAGACCACAGTAGGGACACAGTGGAGAGCGTAATCCCCATCATCCCTTGATAATCAGTTTTTCCTGGCTGTTTCCGGATGTCCTGCGTTGTGTTGTGCGTCATACTGGGTTTGGTAGGACAATATGACCTCAGGCTTACCTTCAGGCCCAGTGCATCAAAATAGACCTCGATCAAATTGTGAACCTGTTTCACAAAGCCCGGTAAAGCCTAGGGGTTAGGACAGTTGTAAAGCTAGGACTGACTGCAGTGTGTATGGAACGGCCAAACTGGATGCCTCAAGAAGTCATGGCGCTAAAACACTAACTAATAGTTTCAATGTGGATATGACTTTAGAGTGTAAGTTTCAATGTGCCCATCTATGGTATATTTACCTGTAAAAAGCGCAACAGCACGGGCCCAGGAAAGCAATACGCACGCAAGTATTGTTTTACCCCGCTTTTAGCAATATTCTAGCAATATCAGGACGGGGGACACCAGAAATGGTCTTCACACATTGTACCCATGTGGGGAATTGAACCCGGGTCTTCTGCGTGACGAGCGAACGTTTTAACCACTAGGCTACCCCACCGCCCCCTTGTAAATGGATGGGATAGTTGGGGTCGGTGGGGTTGACAATTGCTCAGATCAGTCACTGGATTGTCTGGTCCGGACAATCTGCATACCGCCGGCATAGAGCGGGAATATTGCTGAGGGTGGCGTTAAACTTTAAAACATATTTTAATATCTTGACTTAAAATAGACTTATAAAAGTATGATTCTTCCACTGACAGAATAGATCGAGTGTGTCCCGTACTCAGTTAGGTGGTTCAAATCGGTTCATGTACAGTACAGTCTTATATTTAGATGAAAGACCGACAACTCGGCTGTGATTATATCACTGCTGACACTATTCCCATCACTGGTGTGTCTGGTCCAGACTAGATGTTGCAAGGTAGAGGTGAAGCCCATTTCTGGTATCCCCTTTCGTTATATTGCTGGAATATTGCTTAAAGCGGTGTAAAAAAATAAATTCGCTCACTCACTCACTCACTTGTTGGATTGTATAACACATCATTACTCACAGGATAGATTTCGATTTTAATTGTTATACAAGTTTGAATGTGATCTAAGAAAGAGTATGTTATCATTACAGAGATTACAAGAGTTTATGGATGATCAACTTCTTAGTTTTGACAATGGTAACGTTTCGGTATAGATTCTTCTACCGTTTTCAAGCATATCACGGTATAAGAATCTATACCGAAACGTCGCCATTGTCAAAATAGAGAAGTTGATCATCTATAAACTATTGTCATCTCCATACCACCAACTTCTAGAATGCCACTCAATCAAACTGTTATCATTACACCCTAAAAGGAATACAGTAGTCCACAATCAGTTACGGCTTATGTTTGATGACTCTTCTCAAAATGATCCTTTTAGATTGATCCCGAGGAGAGGCACACACCCACTTCCTTCTTTTCGTTAGCATACTAAACATGTACCCATTATCGACCATACCTACTGCAAACGTATTTTAAAACTATGACTAACATGCCACTTTGTAGTTCTTTTTCTCCTGAAACATCCGATTTTATCTTGGAACACTTGGCTGACACATGTCATCGTATCGCAATTGCGTAAATCGATGCTCATGCTGTTGATCACTGGATTGTCTGGTCCAGACTCGATTATTTCCAGACCTCCGCCATATAGCTGGAATATTGCTGAGTGTAAACTACACTCATTCAATCACTATATTGGAACTTGTACCATTGTGTAAGTACACACTGTGTTTGTGGCATGACGTCAAACAAAAATGTACACGGACATATACACCACTGATATGCATCAGCCACAAGGGTGGAATGTGTGTGTGTGCGTGCGTGTGTGTGTAAGAGAGAGAGAGAGATTTGGGTAATATGACATTATTCCAGTTATGTAACTGCCGAGTTAATTGATGCTGGTGGAAATCCCCCAAATTGCTGTAGGTTTCGGTGGTTTACAACTTGGGGTGAAACCCATGACAAAGGGTATATACTGGGCTGACAAAGGGTATATACTGGGCTGACAAACCCATGACAAAGGGTTTATACTGGGCTGACAAACCCAGAAACTTCGAATTCGGTTCAATGGTTCCTGGCGTGTCCAAGGGACGCAACTCTGACTCGCAAATGGCAGCGCCTTTGGCGACTGGGCCAAGCTAGGAAATGGGTTATAGAATATTTTATGTAATGATTGCATTTAGTGGCTTCTGAAAGAATCAGGTGTACCACTGAGTCGATGAGGTACGTCGATGCTGAATAAAGATTAACATTGACATTGGTTATCAAAAGGTGGAACTAAATTTAGGGTTCTTGTCATTCTTTAGAGAAAACGTTTTATATATAGCTTCCCAATAGTCGGACTCTATTGATCATCTTGGACGATATATATAGCTGCACCCACAGATGTGAGGCCCCTGTACAGCGCACTGAAGTATCTGAGTAGTGCTGCAGTTGCAACGCCACGCCGAAGACGTATAGCAACGTAAAACATGGGAAGTTTGTGATTGTTGATTTATTATAGATATGCTGGGATGGAGACGACCCTGCCAGGGAGGGAGCTGTATAGAAATAAAAACACCCTACTGGGCCATGGTGATTAAATGACAAGCCAAGTGGTTGATTAAATGACAGCATTGGTGTCAGTAAACTTGGTCACACAGTGACATCATCCCATTAATACGTTGGTGTGGTGTCTTAAGATTGTCACCCGTGAAGATCCGGGTCAGTAACCCATGCTTGTCGTAAGAGGCGACCAATGGGATAGGGTAGTCAGGTTCACCGACTTGGTTGACACATGTCATCGTATCCCAATTGCGTAGATCGATGCTAATGCTGTTGATCACTGGATTGTCTGGACCAGACTCGATTAAGTAGAATATTGCTGAGTGCGGCGTAAAACTAAACTCACTTACTCTTAAGATTGTCCATTCGCACAGGCCTTATAACTACATTTATCCAGCCTCATGGAAGAATGTCGAGTTTTGATTGGTTCACGTGACTCTGATAAAATACCATGTACACCCGTCACGATCCGCGAGTAGGGGAGTACAAAAGTCATATTATCCCGCCACGACTCGGTGACCACGCGAAGTGAGAAAAGCGTGCATCGCCAAGCCTTTAGTGACGTGAGCTGCATTGAGGTCAATCGATCAGCTGTTGTCAACATGGCATCTCACATAAATAAAAACAAGTCGATTCGATGCGTATTGTTTTCTTTTGATTTAGTAAAAACATTCGGCTAGATAAATGCGTTATCACATCGTGTCTTGGGAAATATGGGGTTTTATCAGTCCCGAGTAAGGTTGTATTCGCCTCCGGCTCGGGGAATACAACCTTACTCGGGACTGATAAAACCCCGTATTTCCCTCGACACGATGTGATAACTTATAGTATTAAATAGGACTGACAGTCACATTCGTAGACATGCTCTTGATGTCATCATGTATTTAAAACCCGTGCTGAGAATCGAACCTAGGCTTCTCTGTTACGAGCTGGCGATGTTCGCACCAACCTACCACTGTTCTGTCTGGTTCTGTTGAAGTAGTGAACGCCGCCAGTGCTGTCGTGGTTCCGAAGGTGTTGAGAAATCGATCCCCGTGGCTCGAGGAGTTTCATTTTACAACTGTTACGCAACGTCCAGCGAAGCCAGGTGTCAAGTGTACGTGTGTGTGATTGTAAGTCTCTATAAATAGCAACATCGTCACTGCTATAATTAACTCAGAGGGCGTGACCTCCAAGTAGATTGGTTCATGTAATGTTATAAATAATTATAGCTGTTGCCAAATTATCACCTGGAGTGTTTTCTGTTGAATGTAATTAAAGTCCTAATTTTCTCTCAATTTGACGTCATAAATGAAGACAATGGTGATGATCACTTTAAATAGATATATTCAACACCTCTGTTCCAGTGGCGTTGTCAAGTGTCTCTCGCCGATTCACGCATAGCCTGTCCCCCAGTTGGCTGCACCACGCAGAATACGCATCAGCCAGCTAGAACCAGTCAAACTCGTGACGGATGGCAAAATGTTTATCAGCTATTACCCGATCTTTCAATCAAGCAATACTGTCACGAGCATAGCGAAAGCAGGTTGCTGGCTACACACGCATATCGGCTTTCTGTCGAAGTTCCCACAATTAAGTCACTAGCTTGCCATAGCCTTTGTAGTTCAGAGTTTGAGATCTTACTTGCAGCATTTTTGACTGAGTGCCATACACAGGTCGTATTTCTACGCTGAGGAATAATAAGAGAATAACAAACGAGATAATACGGATTATCTGCCCTTAGTGAATCAGTGGTGTTAATCCCGAGCCTGTGGCCAGTGTGTTACAGTATATTCACTGGGGGCAGATTGGCCGAAAATACCACTTTCCAGATTGTTATTCATTACTCATCGAAATTTTAAGAAAAAAATTGAAATAACGTTTAACATGTCAACCACACAGAGAGTGAGTGAGTTGGGATTTACGCCGATTTTAACAATATTCCAGCAATATCACGCGGCGGAGGACCCCCAGTCTACGTAAACTTAGACTCAGCATTATTCGTTACTTTTCTATACTATATCCGTATGGCATTGTAACGAATAATACTGAGCCTAGGTTTACTTAGACTGGGGGACCCCAGAAATAAGCGTCACACATTGTAGCCATGTGGGGATTAGAACCCGGGCCTTCGGCGTGACGAGCGAACGCTCTAAAGCATACAGAAAAAAGTGAATATTTGGGATGTCATGAACGTACGATAACGTTATACTGCATACTGGTTTTTCAACAGTGAAGCGTTGAATGGCTTCAAATGACCAGTCAGCATCGAATCACTAAAATGCTCATGTAAACATATCTGATAGTTATTACGAGCGTTCCCTCCTCTTGACCTCTGTACATCTCATCTAAACACATCACTTAATCTCTGTACATCTCAATCTGTAATACTATCTCACTGGCTTCCTGTACATACTATATATTCTGCTTGTATCATATTCTGTCATTCACCTGATGAAGGGACAAGAAGTAGCCCAGAAACGTCGTGTTGTAATATTAAAGAAGTTGTAAATCCATACAATACGTTGTTGTGTTACCTCCCAACTTCTAAATGCCCATCAAGCATATGTTTCTTCTTAGGCTCTTATCCAGAAATCCAAGGGACCAAATATTGTTTTAGAGAAGAGTTTGGTTTGAAACATGCCCAAAAATGAACCGTGGCGTTTTTTCTTCTTTTTTTTTTTTTTTTTTTTTAGGTGGTGAAGAAATGAATTGTGTGTTTTGTTGAAAATAAACAAGCGTCAAATTGTTTGTGCTAGTAGTAAAAATAGATATATTTATGGTGCTCAGAAAGATATTGTTTACTGGATACAGCTGGGGAATAAATTCTTCTCAAGAATATTTCCTCCCCACCCCCGATATACAGAAGGAAACTGATGCTCGTTTACGTATATGAAATATCCACTATTCCAGGACAACAAATGATTTGGAAACTGATATACCTCGCTGATGCTGATGTCAGCAGTTTCTAATCCTCAATTATCCATTATATTGAATCTCCATACCGTTATGGTAAATATTATATACACTCACCAAAATATCACTTTTCATTAGTCGCCAAGAACAGCTTATAGTCAGGTTTACACTGAACTGGTACTCAGAGTAGAGATCCTATCAGTCGAGGCTATACATGCACCACACAGCCTGCACGCGGAAACAGCTGATTGAATCAGGAAGTACATGACTGGCGGTTCAGTTTATGCCTACGGGGTCTACATGTCCACCTTGATGCATGGTTGCCCGAGTCAGCCAGCACGGTGCCTGGCACGTGTACAGATATATGGCCTGTGTGTGTTACACACGGAACATTTCCAGTTATATCGTTCACTCAAATGAGTGTGTTACTGTTACTCCTTTTAAATATTTACCCTTGAAGAATATTTACCCTTGAGAATTCAACAAATGCAAAGAAAATAATGCTAACGGACAGATTTATTGACAGAATAATCTATACAAAGAAAGAACTATTGAGGAGGGAGCTAGTTCATAATGATACTTGTATTTTTTGTAAAAATATCTCAGAAGACATATTGCATGTATTTTTTTACTGTGATTTAGTTAAAAACTTTGGGAAAAATGTAGAACAATTTCTAAATACCCACCTCCAGTGTAATATCACATTTACAAAATTCACTATCATTTTTGGAGTGTGCTCAAACAATAAAATACTAAATCATATTATACTTCTTGCCAAAAGATTCATTTATGTTTCAAGTATAAATCAACAAGCACTTTCCCTTGAGGGATTTCTTAAGTTATTAAAAGATATATGTACAACTGAAAAAGATATAGCTAGGAAAAGCAATAGCTTAGATCCCTTTATAAGGAAGTGGAAACATTTCTGTACCTTACTATTTATTTTTTATATGTGCTAAGCATTGAACTATAATATCAGCTGTATTTCCAGACCCCACTCACTACAATCACACTATTCAACCTTATCCCTCCAATTTTATATTTTATATGCCCTCTACAGAAACTTTAATGATATCTTATGCACCTATATATTTGTTATAAACTTACAAAACACCATTGATGTTATATATATATATATAATTAAATGCCAACGGATAGACTATCCAAGAAGTGTCCAATTTCCACCTCTGTTGCAATTTCAGGCACCAAATACACCCATGAAGATCCGGGTTAGAACTGATCTTCAGTAGCCCATGCCTGTCGTAAGAGGCGACTAACGGGATCGGGTGGTCAGGCTCGCTGACTTGGTTGACAGATGTCATCGTATCTCATATGCGTAGATCGATACTCATGCTATTGATCACTGAATTGTCTGGTCCAGACTCGATTATTTACCATATAGCTTTAATATTGCTGAATGTGGCGTGAAACCAATCTTTGAAACATTTGTATCTGGGAATAGAGTTATTTTCTTAATGCCTCGTAAATATGTGTTAGAGTTGCTCATTTTCAACATTTGTATCTGGGAAAAAATATATTTTCTACATGTTCATCGAACTACATTACACAATTGCAAATATAACTTCCCAGTTCCCCCCAGCCACTGAGAACTGATTTACACGCTAATGTCTCACCACAGTTATTCTCTTAGTTTTGTGGAAGAAATGATTTGTGAATGTTTCGTTGTTGCCAGTGTAGAAGTGATAAACAAATGGCAACAGCATTGCATCTGTCACAGATTTTGTGTTCTTGTATATATAATTTTGTGAATTATTTGATTTACTTGAATGGGTAACATCAAGACTGGTTTCCACTTTAATTCATCTACTTTATCTACATTTCTTATTTATCAAGCCTATGCTTGATGCATGTGCGTGTGCGTCTGTGCTATATAAATGTAAATTGAGGTTACCAAACGTGAAACCCAAAGGAGGCATGTAGTCAAAGAGAAGAATGTAATTAAACCATACAGACAGTTTAGGTTGCATATACAAGCTGGTATGACCAAGACGATTATGGATTGACAACTTCTTTATATATATATAAACACAAACTACCAGTACCTTAGGAACACTCTTTGTTGGATAATAAATAAGATTATTTCTGTAATTCTGTGAAGTCGCATGCCCATGGGGCATCATATAAGGAATATAAAGTTTTAATTATGAATCTCTTGTAATAGAGAATAGTTTGTTCACAAATATGCCCAAAATGTAATGTTTGTTTGCAGGGGTTTAGAAATTACAAAATAGTTGAACTTCATACTGAAGAAATTGTTTATGGTGCTCAGTAAGTATATAGTTCGTTGGATGCAGCTTTGGAATAATATGTTTCTTAACATGTTCATAATTATACAAGCACCATATAATAACGTTTTCAAGGTAAGGTAGTTTCTGACATGTTTAATACATTTAACCAACATTTTATGACTCTCCAATATAGAAATAAATTACATACAAAGACATGCGTCTACTTTCACCAACGTATTAAACTGTAAAATATTTTATAGAGATAATCACTATTCTGTTCAAATATTTTCAAAATGCTATCTAGTACGTTCGTTCCTGAATGAATTCATTGTGAGTATTGGATTCCATAAACATTCTGCATGATAGATGCTGTGCAATAATTTGCCCTCTTTATTATTACTTATTGCATGAAAATGAAATAAATACCATAACATGTTTCCATATATTGACTCGAATATTATACAAACGTAAATAAATATGTGTTTGTATATTGTGCATACAAATTACATTACAAAAAGCCTTTCTGGTGTTATTTCTATGTGATCGAATGGTGAGCAGCATCTTTGTATTTATATAAGATTATTGATTCGACTATCAAATGCACTGTTTCCGAAGGTGGAATCAGAGAGATGCCATCACTAGGGGGGCGGGGAAATGTACTGCTATGTGTTTTGTTTGTTTTTTTTTTGGGGGAGGGGGCATTATATCAATACGTAAACGCATCACTATACTCAGTTTATAATTCACTCACAAGGGGTTGGGGCAATAGTGTATATGTGTTGTAATGACTACGGACAGTAATTAATATTTTCACACTCATTCATGACACATGCATAAATGATAGGGAAGCCCATCGGCGATGCTTCTTCTCTCTAGGGAATATACAGTCTGTGTTGCTGTACACGTGAACAGCAATATCGCCATCTCTTCCTACTGGGTACCCATTCAGTGATGGGTGGCCGGAAGCATATTTAGAACAGAGCATAGGGAGACAGTTAACCTGTGCTTCAATGTTCTACGCCATATATGGTCAGTATATTAGCGTTGGAGGATGATTATATGGTTTCATATTCCTGTAACATAACCGAGGGGTCACCAGAAATGGGCTTTACATATTGTACCATTGTGGGGAATCGAATTCGGGTCTTCTTCGGCGTGACGAACGGACGTTTCGACCATTATGCTAGCCCACCCTCACTTGGTCCGTTCTAAGACTGTTTCCTGCTCACATTGTTTATCGTTTATTATGAATGGTCTATATTTCAGTGGGGTGGTGAAAGAGTATAGCATAATCGATCTTAAAGTGCTTTCATTTCAGAGACTCACGGCAAGTCCAGTCGGTCCCTGCAGAACTACAGAGGGGTCGAGTGATACAGCATATTTATCTAACGTCTGGTTTATCTCGCGACCAACATGGCAATGAAAGAATAGATTTATTACACACGTAATGCTCAGATGTATTTCTGGAACTGGTCTCGGACAAGAATTTTAAATATGTCACATTCCTTATTCGCAGATTAACCGACCTCTTTCGTTTCTAAGACACAGTTGTATGGAATGGTATAGGTTAAGCATCTTCTAAAACGTAATATGCAGAAATGGCTATTAATACGACCATTCACAGAATGGGCTAATAGGAGCAAACAGTAACAACAATTTTGAACATCTGTCTATACTGGTTGCCCGACATTTTGGGGGAGGAACTGTCTAAATATGCACCGACAAACTCATATGATTCATGCCTAAGCGTGATAAGATAGTCTGGATAATCGAGCCAAATGACGGTGTAAAAGGATGCTGTATAATCGATGTTATCTAAATATAGCCCTTATCACTTTCCGGGTTGCAACACAACTGGTTACCTCCCTTAGATACTTCCGGTGGCAAAACAAACAGACAAAGTTCGAGAAGATAATGTGAAAATATACAGTATTTCAGGTAATCCGTGTTTCTGCACACCTAAATGGTATGATTTAGGTTATCGATGTTTGACATTTTGGGCCAATGATTGCTGATCACAGCTGTCTCAACTCATTGTGAAGCTTGAGCGATTGACAGAACTGCCCCTTCATCATTGTCAGTCATGCGTTGGCCGCATGTTTTGGTGGGTCATTACTGACATTCGGATATTGTTCATAACGGTGAGCTCAACATGCATAGTCACCGTGCTATCGAACTGCCTGCTTATTTGTTTTACTAATTTGGACCTAAAATATATCGGTAAGAGAATATTAAATAGTGAACTTTTACATAAAATTAGGTAGCTTTTGTCACGAACATGATCAAATCAGTCAGATGATAATACATTTCAATTCACATTCTTGAACCATTTTACTATGTTATGTGTTGTATTATATTTTTTATGCTACATCTTTTTATTGACAATTTCCTGGTTTGAAAAAAGTCGTTTATTGACAGGCTTTCGTGAGGAAGTTGACACTTGTCATGAATGGAACTTGAAATTTGCAATTTAAAAAGAAATGCTTAGAAGTTAGATGAGGTGAAAATACTGTTTCGACCAGCATCAAATTTTAGATGAACAAGATGACTAAATCACCTATTTTCTAACACCTGATCAGTTTTGGTCCCCAAACTGGGTTTCTGTGTAAAAACAGACATGTTATTTTTCTACACAATGCTTTCAGATCTGTATATTCAAACAGTAATTGTAAGTTTGAAACACAATTGTACTCTTGACACAAGCACCAAAATTCTGAATGATGGAATATTCTGATGGATTGTGCAGTAATTCATGTGGACCCAATGCAATACTGCAGATGACCCCAGTGTTGACAGGCCAAATGTGTGCACATTGGAATCACAACATTGATGATGCCATACCCCTCATTATAACATGACAAATCCCTTTGAATATACTGAATATGGGTGTTCACAGTTTACGTGTCAATTAAAAATAAGGTTAAAGAACTGAAGGCTCGGAATTCCTTGATGAATAAACCAAATCATGACTTACATTTATCACTTTATGCAGCAATGTCTGCATTAGTTGTTGGCTATGATCGGATTACTTTGGGCATGGCACACAATATAATTGACTTCCTTTGGGGTAAAAAAAACAATCTGATGTTTAGCAATAGCATTGACCAGGTGTATATTTTTGTTGTCACAAATATGATTTAGGAACATGCATCATTACATTGTTTGGTTAAATTGTTATGAAATACCTTCATATTTGGCCATAAGAATTAATGAAACCAGGATCTTTAGTGATCTTGACCTGCGAAAAGGGTTATTGCTAAAACGGCACCACAGAATGAAAGATACAGAATGTTGGTTCTTTCTGACGGTCTTCTCGCATACAACACAGTGGTGAGGCATTGTCAAGAATGATGTGTCATGGGTACATTCGTGCATTTTAAATACAGTTTCATTTTTACATTGAGTCCCGGCGATTTCATTTGAGTAAATGTACTTAAAACATCAAAGGTTGCGATGTTTTCATGCTAAATTGGGATGCCCTTTCCAATCACTGTAGGCAGAGTAGACATATTTATTTTGTAGACATTCTGCAATCCGATTATCAGCTAAGGTTGCAATGCTTTCATGCTAAATTGGGATGCCCTTTACATTAAATTCCAGTCACTGTCAGCAGAGTAGATGCATTTATTATGTTATTTATTTGTTGGTTCCCGTTTTCGCCATAAGATTTGTAGCTGTTTTCACCAAGTCGAAATATTGAAATTTTATTAACACAAACCTTAAATTGTTTTTGATTTTCTGTATGTGATGCCCTGTTTGTTTCCAGGGACAGACTTCACTGTGAGATTGCACAGATCTTTGATCTTACTCTTCCATGATGGAAGCTTTCCTGAGGAATCAGATCCTCAATGTGTGTCGTGTGCGACACCATCAACGCCTTCGTGATGCTCATTTGCCGGTCAGACGAAGAGAGCCTCGATATGATCGCCTTGGAGTGGAAGGGGAGATAATAAGGTCAGACTGAATCTTCCCTGAAAGTACAGTTTCACCTGAACATTTGTACCTATCAAAGTGGATAGTAACTTGGTTGTTCTTAGCGCTATAGTGATTGTGAGTTAGGTTGTCTTTGAATTGTGTGTTTCGAGAGATCACTCGTGGCGGCCATACCGGAAATGCCACAGTGGTCCTGAGTCCTAGTTGGCCCGGAAAGTGTATTCACCTCCCCTAAACAATGTGAATATCCAAAGATATTGAAGTCTGGTTGACTTGTTCTTGAGACATGTTTTCAGGGGTTTTATGCTGATTGTGCGTCTACTTATTTCAGTTTCATGCCCAATGACGGCAACAAAGTTGGTTTGTACATCGCAGCCTGTCCAATCTCACCTGAAGACAACTACTTTGAGATAGAAATCATTGATACAGGCTTGTTTGGAAACATAGGTATGGCTGATTATGTGGAGATTAATTTGCTGTATTAATATTATTGAGATGCTGGAGAAGTCCAATGAATCAATCTACTCAGTAAATATCTAAAACCTTTTTTGTTAAAAAGAAAAAAAATATATTGTTATGAAATCTGGATGAAAAGTATATAATTATACTTTCTAGTCTATGGGTACCGTTTTTGAAGCCCATTTCTGGTGTCCTCTGCCGTGATATTGCTGGAATATTGCTAAAACTGGCGTAAAACTAAACTCACTCACTCACTTTCTAGTGTAACAGTTACAAGGTACATCCAGGCAACAAATTGTAAATGGTAATGTTTGGTAATCCGGGTTTCAGGGTTAACTGTATAGCTGTGTTGATACAGTGCATCCTGTGCATGTAGCTTCTACCTGTAGTTGCACCAGATGCTGGATGTAGCTGATGTTGTTTCAGGTGTGGGACTGGTGCCGTGTCGCTACACTCTGGATGCTCAGCCTGGCTGGAAGCCATTCTCAGTGGGCTATCATGCTGATGATGGCAAGTAAGTAGCAACTGTGTAGAGCCATTTTCTTTGGGAAATCATCTGGGAACATTGATGGCCCGGTGTACATGGTCATTATCGTCTTGATTATCATTATCTAGGGGAACCAGGATGTAGTGCTTTTTCAGAAGAGATAACACAATAAGACAAATAGATTTGGCAACTGTCGACAAACATTGTTTGAAATTTTAAAGAAATTTCTTATCCTGACTCATGATCTTTTGCTTATCTCCCTTTCCCTTGCAAATGGTAGTGGAACACTTAAATCCCTTGAAGTTCCCGCAGCGGGCGTAAAAATACACTCACCCATGAGTTACCTCCCTTTTGCCATTTCCCACGCAAAGTCATGTGACCAGCCTTACTTGTCACTCTCTCCCTTTTCGCCCAACTTGGAGTTTGAACACTGGAGTCCCGTATCCGACAATATATCCTTTTTATTTAGGTCCTATTCTTCAAAATTACACTATGTATGGATTTGGCAATAACTACTATGTATTATATGTAAAAAAATTGTACAATTTTTTTTTGTATTTGTGTCATAATTTCATCGTTATGTAACTTTGTTTACATTTCATGAAATCTTGTAGTGTTTGCAGGCACAGGTTATCCGTACCTATGAGATCGGCGACTCAATCGACTTCCACGACTACTAGATAGTCTCCTGCAACGGTCACAGCAGGCCAGCTGTTTGACGAGCTACCACCAACTTCTCAACGGAGTGAAGTCCAGGCACACACCTCATCAGCGTTCGCAAATGCTTCTTCTACACTGCAGCAGCTTCAATCAACGCAGAACTTGATCCGGGTGAAATTATGAGACAATTCACCAACCAGATGATGGCCATGATGGAACGTAGGTTCGAGGAAGGCGAAGCCTCTCATCTACTGACATCGTGCGCAAACCTATGGGCCTGCGCGAATCTACGGACCTGTGCGAACCTACTCCTCATAGAACTATGTCTCAAGACTTCGTTGGCGAACGTATACCTTTGCGAAGGTCTCCACAGTCTGATGACTCTGTCATCTTGGAGGAGGATAGAAGACATGACATGCCTACTCACCGTTCTACATCTGCGAACCCTCAACATTCGAGAACATCACGGGATCCAATTCCTACACCAAGCCGTTCTAGATCGAGATCTCATATCTCTCACAGACGTTCGCGAAGTCACTCATCACGAGACAGAGGTTCGCGAAGAGAAGGCTCACATCACAGAAGTTCGCGAAGGGATACATCTAGGCAACAGAGGTTCGTGAAGAGTATGCTCACGTCACAGAGGTTCGCGAAGAGATGAATCCACAGATAGAGGTTCGCGAAGAGAGGAATCTCAAGATAGACGTTCGCGAAGGGAGGAATCTTCAGTTCGTGAAAGGATGGTGGAGGTTCGAGAAGGGATACAGGTTCGCAGAAGGATGATTCGCGGAGGCATAGCTCTACCGATCAGGAGATAATTGATGAATAACCAGACTTTGTCTTCCCGGACTCAGAGGTTACAGCTTGGATAGCCAATGGTTTGATCTTGGAGTCTCCTTCTAAGGATATAGATGAAGTCTACACTACACTATAAGATGCGTAATGACGGCTTTGACTCGGTGACTGTTCCTCCGATTGAACCTATATCCAAGGTACCTTGTAACATATGCACAGCTTTGAGAAAGCTGCAGACATCTACAAGGTTCGAGAACTCTCAGATCTACAGGCAGATAACAGCAACGCAAACATCTACAGGGTTCGCGAGCCCTAGGGTTAACAAACCCTTACATCAACAGGCAGGATGTTGAAGTCGACTCAACAAATAGATCTACAACATGTGCGATCTCTACAGTTTACAGCCTGCACAACTCTACAACATGCACAAACCTTATACCTGTATAGATTCAGTTTCAGACGACAACCTACTTGAAAGAATCCCTTCATCTATACAGATGCTGAGGTCTTATACCGGGTAAAAGATGGCCTGCGGATATTGTCGTTCACTCACTCACTCACTCCAACCCAACAGAGACGTACTGCATATACGCTGATGACTTCGACTCCAATATGATATCACCTATGAAGCCGATATCTCAAGTACTGGAGAACCTCAAGGCGACCTTTGTATAGGGCTTAAGGTTAACAACGCCTTCAAGAATCCTTGAACGGATGTACAGATGATATTATTAACACTCGTCACTCAGTGTGGGGGATTATGATTTTATATCCTATCAACTAGATTCGACATCGGTATTTCTTCAAGACCCATACAGACATACGTCTCGACAGCCTCCTTCGTCATGCTGGTTTATATTATCCACAATGGGAATACGTGATTTATATCACTGAACAAGATTTTACACTTGGAGCAACCCTTATTCAAGAGGTTTATATGAGCGGCGTAGAATTACGCACGCTTTTACTCAACCAACTAATTGCACCAGATTTTATGGAGGCCAACTTTCTACAACACCAGTGACATCATGCTTGAAGCTGATTGGTCCACGTCAGACAACGCCTCCCACTGACAGAGCAGGCACCAGCAAGTTTACTGACTTGTAAACAAACCCATGGTACGGGGAAATACTTCATCGGCAGCCTTGGAAACAGTATGTACCTACGGCCTGTTATCATCATGGGAATCTAATACATGTCTAGCCTTGACAGCAGTATAAACGATTTTTATTTTGGAAGCTGTCGCTGATAAAAGTCGGTATGAGTACCTGTCCCCTGCGATGCTACACTGGAGCCAGCTTTGCTATAAATAGACAACGCTTCGATGTATGCTGATCAACACAGATCGCCTGCGTATATAAGGGGAAGAATGATGTATCATCACTGCAATCAGAGGTTAGCACTTTCAATGGAACGTCCTACTGTTTGGAATATCGTCGGCTCTACGATTATTCATACGAATAACCAAGTCTATCGGCACCTATCTGCATCATCGAGGTCTACGCGGTGCCGGTTATCTGGACAACGACATACAGGTTCTTCAAAGTGCCAGTCATCTCAGACAGCAGCTGAACTTCACGATTAAGTTGCTCACGCAACTAGGATGGCTAGTGAACCTGATGAAGTTGGAGTTAGAATCAAACAAGATCTTCAATTCCTGGGAATACGAATTATCACAACACAGAATCGAATTGTGGTCCCAGAAGATCATTGGGTCAAGATACAAGCCATGATTCCACAAGCAGTCATCTCTCCGTTAACACTACGAACATGGCAAAGTCTACTCGGTTTACTAACCTCGGCGCAGGACTTGACTCGCACAGGAAAGTTACAACTAAGGCCGCTGCAACGTTTACTGACAAAACATCTGGACAGTGTCGACCCTATCTTGCTGCCAGACAATCTTAAGAGGTACCTACTTTAGTGGACCCACAGGTCGAACGTCTGCGGAGGGACCTACTTACAAGAGACGGCCTTCGACACACATCTCTACATAGACTCATCAATACAAGGTTGGGGTGCACATCTCAACAATCAAGTTGCATCAAGGAAGTGGTCCAAAACAGAGCAGCATCTTCACATCAATCTGCTGGAGATGAAAGCTGTGATCAACGCCTTACAACTATGGTCGAGCTCGCTGATCAACAGAATGCTGATGGTCCACACGGACAACTCTACAGTGGCATTCTCCATAAATCGGCAAGGATCTACAAGGTCACCAAGCCTTCTACAGCTCACATTCCAGTTGTTTCACATCATGGAGGAGGCAAACATCTGGATAAAGGCGCGTGTCACATACCAGGAGCCAAGAACATGCTTGCAGACGCTCTCTCCTGACCACTGCACCTGTCACCTACGGAATGGATGCTCCATCCAGAAGCATTTCAGCTCATCATAAGGGAAATTTGATCCCCATGCATAGACCTGTTTGCCAAGAGGTTCAACAAACAACTACAGATGTTGTTTTCTCACCAGTTCCAGATCCTCAAGCCTGGGCAACAGATGCACTGAACATATCATGGGAAGGACTAAACGCTTATGCGTTTCCACCACTGATATTACTACTGAAAGTACTGTTGAAGATCAAACAGCCATACTCGCCAGCGAGAATATGGTTCCTAGACCTAATAGAAGTCCAACAATCAAGTTACCAGATTGGCCAAACCTACTCATACATCAGCACACCAAGCAAGTCCACGGGGAACTCCAACACTGCTGTTCCAGCTACATGTGTGGACCGTATCAAAACATGTCTGAAGAAAAGAGGATACTCCGCCAGGGCAGCCAAGGCAGTAATGCTAGCGTTACGCAGAACTACTCTGCTGAAGTTTGAGACTTATGCAAGGCGGAAAGGCTTCATTGCTATCATTGAAAGCTACTCATCCTCAAGTGGCGGAATACCTGTGTCATCTTAGACAGACTAGACATCTGAAAGGTTCGACATTATCTACATACCTTGCTGCCATCAGTACAGTGATTACCATGGAAATCAAGTTGACGAAAGTACGAGAATTACTTGCTCTGCTGAGATCTTTTAAACTGGAGGACCAGCAAAAGAAGTTCAGAGCTCCGGCCTGGGATCTGAATGTAATTCTACGTCATCTTACAAGTGATGCCTACGAACCTCTAGACCAGACTACCCTCGAGCTGCTGACACAGAAGACACTGTTCCTGCTTGCGCTATCCACGGCAGTTCGGATATCAGAGATACATGCGCTGGACTTTGGTCGAACCAGATTCGACACGGGGCAACATGCTGCAGTTCATCTAGGACTTAGATGGGACTTCATTGCCAAGAACCAACTACCTGGTCAGCCAAATAGACAGTTCCACGTACCAGCGCTTTCTACAATCCTCTGACCAAAGGATATAGAGGACCTATCCTTGTGTCCGGTCAGAGCCCTGAAGATATATCTTCAAAAGACTTAAGACAAGGAGACGAAAATTCAAGCGCCTGTTCATCCCATTATCCACAGAGACATCAGCAGAAGTCTCAAGAACGATGATATCGTTCTGGATGAGAGCCGTCATATTGAGAGCCTATAAAGTAGCAGGACTAGAACCTCCTAGAGCTTCCAACCCACACGAAGTCAGAGCACTGGCGTGAACACTAGCTCTGCACGGAAATTGCTCTATATGAGCAATTATGGAGGGCTGCTTTTGGAAGTCGGACATGGTGTTTGCCAACAACTACCTCCGAGACATAGCCACTGAAGACGTCTCAGGCATCCACCCTTTTGGGCCTCTCGTTGTAGCACAGCAACTAACGGTTCCTCAAAGGCGCTGAGTTGGAAAATCTCACCCTTTATCACGTTGACTTGTTGATAACTTTTACTAAGGAAAAGTATTAGTTTGAAAGTCCATGTGCACAGTCTAGGACAGACTAGTATGAGTGATAAAAGATCCTGTACGGGTAAATATCTTACCTGTACGTGAAGGGGTCGCAACTCATTTATGATAAAGATCTTATCATAATCTATGGGCTGTTATAGATATCTAGTAATAAGAAGATACTAGTATATCTTAAGCCACATGAATCAAGATGATTCAACTTGTCTGAGATGGAAGTAAGACAAGAAAATGGTCCCCCCGAGTTATAACGGAAGTTGGAAGAATAGGATCACGGAAATACCATTTTGCAGTTCCCATGGGGGGGATACAGGATGTATCTAAGGACAGCTGATGAATCCACGATGTGGCTTGACCCACCTCCAATCCTTCGGATTCCATAAGCAAAAGATCATAAGTCTGGATAAGAAGAAATATGTAATTTTTCAAGTAAAATTGATATTTTTATATATATCCTGACTCATGACGAGAAGCCCTCCCAACCTGCCCGCTGGAAACACTTTGGATTTCACAGCAGATCCAAGTGCATGGGCAGAAAAATCAGGAGAGAGTGACAAGTAAGGCTGGTCACATGACTGTTTGCGCGGGAAAGGGCAAAAGGGAGGTAACTCGTGGGTGAGTGTATTTTTACGTCCGCTTCAGGAACTTCAAAGGATTCAAGTGTTCCACTACCATTCACAAGGAAAAGGGAGATAAGCAAAAGATCATGAGTCAGGATAAGTATAAAAATATCAAATTACATACTTGTAATGATAATTTTCATAAGTAACATTAGAAGTGTTCAGGTACAAAAATATATTAGTAATTCTTTACTGCACTGTTAGAAATGTTTGAAAATTGAACAAAGGCACATTCCAGGCCACAAGTTCGGATAGCAAAATAGATCTGTGAGTTCCTGAATATACCTCAGTGAGTATGAAGCTGCTTCATGCAATAAACATGTCGATGTATGGAAAGGGTGGTGACATGCTCTTGGTGGAGAGAGAAAGAGTGCTACACATGTTTGGTTCTTTGTCAACTGTGATGCTGTGCACGTAAACATACCTATTTAATCAACTGAAGATATTAAACTCCTGAATCCTGTCTGTCAAGAATTCGGACTAAGAACAATGTATATTTTCAGACTATACAAGGCATGTGGCTTTGGGAAGGCGTTTGGCCCAAAGTGCCACGTAGGCGACCGCATCGCAGCGGCTGTGGCATCAAGTACAGCATCAGCGACATTGAGTCTGGGAGTCCACTCACAGCCAAGGTGTTCTTCACACGTAATGGGAAGGAGGTAGGCCTGTTATGTCTTACTGTCCTTGAGGTTTAGATGTTGGGATAGTGTCAGTATGTATGTGGTATTGCTGTCAGTGTCAGCATTGTTTGTAGGGTGCATGGTTAGTATCGTATATAGTGTTAGTATGCCTTTAGTGTCAGTATCTATGTGGTATTGGTGTCAGCATTGTTTGTAGGATGCATGGTTAGTATCGTTATATAGTGTTAGTATGCCTTTAGTGTCAGTATCTATGTGGTATTGGTGTCAGCATTGTTTGTAGGGTGCATGGTTAGTATCGTTATATAGTGTTAGTATGCCTTTAGTGTCAGTATCTATGTGGTATTGGTGTCAGCATTGTTTGTAGGGTGCATGGTTAGTATCGTTATATAGTGTTAGTATGCCTTTAGTGTCAGTATGTATGTGGTATTGGTGTCAGCATTGTTTGTAGGGTGCATGGTCAGTATCGTTATATAGTGTTAGTATGCCTTTAGTGTCAGTATCTATGTGGTATTGGTGTCAGCATTGTTTGTAGGGTGCATGGTTAGTATCGTTATATAGTGTTAGTATGCCTTTAGTGTCAGTATGTATGTGGTATTGGTGTCAGCATTGTTTGTAGGGTGCATGGTTAGATCGTTATATAGTGTTAGTATGCCTTTAGTGTCAGTATCTATGTGGTATTGGTGTCAGCATTGTTTGTAGGGTGCATGGTTAGTATTGTTATATAGTGTTAGTATGCCTTTAGTGTCAGTATCTATGTGGTATTGGTGTCAGCATTGTTTGTAGGATGCATGGTCAGTATCGTTATATAGTGTTAGTATGCCTTTAGTGTCAGTATGTATGTGGTATTGGTGTCAGTGTCAGCATTGTTTGTAGGGTGCATGGTTAGTATCATTATATAGTGTTAGTATGCCTTTAGTGTCAGTATGTATGTGGTATTGGTGGCATTGGTGTCAGCATGGTCAGTAGTGTTAGTATGCCTTTAGTGTCCGTATGCATGTGGTATTGGTGTCAGCATTGTTTGTAAGTGCATAGTTAGTATATATAGTGTTAGTATGCCTTTAGTGTCAGTATGTATGTGGTATTGGTGTCAGCATTGTTTGTAGGGTGCATGGTTAGTATCGTTATATAGTGTTAGTATGCCTTTAGTGTCAGTATGTATGTGGTATTGGTGTCAGCATTGTTTGTAGGGTGCATGGTTAGTATCGTTATATAGTGTTAGTATGCCTTTAGTGTCAGCATGTATGTGGTATTGGTGTCAGCATTGTTTGTAGGATGCATGGTTAGTATCGTTATATAGTGTTAGTATGCCTTTAGTGTCAGTATGTATGTATGTGGTATTGGTGTCAGCATTGTTTGTAGGGTGCATGGTTAGTATCGTTATATAGTGTTAGTATGCCTTTAGTGTCAGTATGTATGTGGTATTGGTGTCAGCATTGTTTGTAGGGTGCATGGTTATATATCGTTATATAGTGTTAGTATGCCTTTAGTGTCAGTATGTATGTGGTATTGGTGTCAGCATTGTTTGTAGGGTGCATGGTCAGTATCGATTATATAGTGTTAGTATGCCTTTAGTGTCAGTATCTATGTGGTATTGGTGTCAGCATTGTTTGTAGGGTGCATGGTTAGTATCGTTATATAGTGTTAGTATGCCTTTAGTGTCAGTATGTATGTGGTATTGGTGTCAGCATTGTTTGTAGGGTGCATGGTTAGTATCGTTATATAGTGTTAGTATGCCTTTAGTGTCAGTATCTATGTGGTATTGGTGTCAGCATTGTTTGTAGGGTGCATGGTTAGTATCGTTATATAGTGTTAGTATGCCTTTAGTGTCAGTATCTATGTGGTATTGGTGTCAGCATTGTTTGTAGGATGCATGGTCAGTATCGTTATATAGTGTTAGTATGCCTTTAGTGTCAGTATGTATGTGGTATTGGTGTCAGTGTCAGCATTGTTTGTAGGGTGCATGGTTAGTATCGTTATATAGTGTTAGTATGCCTTTAGTGTCAGTATGTATGTGGTATTGGTGTCAGCATTGTTTGTAGGGTGCATGGTTAGTATCGTTATATAGTGTTAGTATGCCTTTAGTGTCAGTATGTATGTGGTATTGGTGTCAGCATTGTTTGTAGGGTGCATGGTTAGTATCGTTATATAGTGTTAGTATGCCTTTAGTGTCAGTATGTATGTGGTATTGGTGTCAGCATTGTTTGTAGGGTGCATGGTTAGTATCGTTATATAGTGTTAGTATGCCTTTAGTGTCAGTATGTATGTGGTATTGGTGTCAGCATTGTTTGTAGGTGGATGCATGGTTAGTATCGTTTATATAGTGTTAGTATGCCTTTAGTGTCAGTATCTATGTGGTATTGGTGTCAGCATTGTTTGTAGGGTGCATGGTTAGTATCGTTATATAGTGTTAGTATGCCTTTAGTGTCAGTATCTATGTGGTATTGGTGTCAGCATTGTTTGTAGGGTGCATGGTTAGTATCGTTATATAGTGTTAGTATGCCTTTAGTGTCAGTATGTATGTGGTATTGGTGTCAGCATTGTTTGTAGGGTGCATGGTCAGTATCGTTATATAGTGTTAGTATGCCTTTAGTGTCAGTATCTATGTGGTATTGGTGTCAGCATTGTTTGTAGGTGCATGGTTAGTATCGTTATATAGTGTTAGTATGCCTTTAGTGTCAGTATCTATGTGGTATTGGTGTCAGCATTGTTTGTAGGGTGCATGGTTAGTATCGTTATATAGTGTTAGTATGCCTTTAGTGTCAGTATGTATGTGGTATTGGTGTCAGCATTGTTTGTAGGGTGCATGGTTAGTATCGTTATATAGTGTTAGTATGCCTTTAGTGTCAGTATCTATGTGGTATTGGTGTCAGCATTGTTTGTAGGGTGCATGGTTAGTATTAGTTATATAGTGTTAGTATGCCTTTAGTGTCAGTATGTATGTGGTATTGGTGTCAGCATTGTTTGTAGGGTGCATGGTTAGTATCGGTGCATATATAGTGTTAGTATGCCTTTAGTGTCAGTATGTATGTGGTATTGGTGTCAGCATTGTTTGTAGGATGCATGGTTAGTATCGTTATATAGTGTTAGTATGCCTTTAGTGTCAGTATGTATGTGGTATTGGTGTCAGCATTGTTTGTAGGGTGCATGGTCAGTATCGTTATATAGTGTTAGTATGCCTTTAGTGTCAGTATGTATGTGGTATTGGTGTCAGCATTGTTTGTAGGGTGCATGGTTAGTATCGTTATATAGTGTTAGTATGCCTTTAGTGTCAGTATGTATGTTATTGGTGTCAGCATTGTTTGTAGGGTGCATGGTCAGTATCGTTATATAGTGTTAGTATGCCTTTAGTGTCAGTATGTATGTGGTATTGGTGTCAGCATTGTTTGTAGGGTGCATGGTTAGTATCGTTATATAGTGTTAGTATGCCTTTAGTGTCAGTATGTATGTGGTATTGGTGTCAGCATTGTTTGTAGGGTGCATGGTCAGTATCGTTATATAGTGTTAGTATGCCTTTAGTGTCAGTATGTATGTGGTATTGGTGTCAGCATTGTTTGTAGGGTGCATGGTTAGTATCGTTATATAGTGTTAGTATGCCTTTAGTGTCAGTATCTATGTGGTATTGGTGTCAGCATTGTTTGTAGGGTGCATGGTCAGTATCGTTATATAGTGTTAGTATGCCTTTAGTGTCAGTATCTTGTTAGGGTTTGGAGCCTTATAGTGTCAGCTTCTTTCTAGTTTTTTAATGTTCTGATAATATCAGAAGATTGCAGTGTTTGTGCTGTGTTAGTGTTTTGTAGGTTTAGTGTCGTTGTATAAGCATCTGTTTAGTGTTAGTGTGTTTGTAGTGTTCCATTGTTAGCGCCATTGTAGTTTTACTCTCTTTGTTATGTTAGTGTTTTTGAAGTGTAAGTGTCTTTATAGTGTTAGGAACTTTATAATGTGAGTATCATTGTGGTGTTAGTGCCCTTGCAATGTTGGTCCCTCTGTAGTGTTATCAACTTTGTAATTTCAGCTGTTTTTGTGTAAATGTCATTGAAGTGTTAGCATCTTGTAGTGTTAGCAGTGTTAGTAACTCTTTTTGTGGTGTTTTCGATATTGTGAGTGAGTGAGTTGAGTTTCTCTACGACATTCATGGGTTACTGAAGATCAATTTCTAATGTCTTTCAGTGGCATTTAGAAGTTGTACATTGATGTCCAAGATATTTTTATGGATTAAACTTCTTTTTAATTTGCGTGGGACCTCTTGATTAACTTTTAATGAACTTTAGATAAAAGAAAAAACGAGTCTACTATTCTTTTTGGAAAGCCTGCTATCAAGTAACCTTTGTGTAATTAGCAGTTGTTGTGTATTGACAATTCAACTTTCAACTCTATTATTTACCATGAATTTTCATCATTATGTAATTAACTCTTCAAACTCTTCAAAATCACTTATACAGTACTCTCCCTAGTGTACTGTGATGTCACTTGCATTGTGACGTCATAGCGACGACGTCATAGTCCTTACTGCCAGTTCACCTGATGAAGGGACCTGGAATGGTCTCGAAACGTCGTGAGAGAAATTAAAAAGAAGTTTAATCCATAAAAATATCTTGGACATCAATATTCTAACCTGGACCTTCACGGGTATTTTGATTTTGTGGGGTTGGGGCAGTGGGGTAGCGTTTGTTCGTCATGCCAAGGCCTGGGTTCGATTCCCCACATGGGTACAATGTGTGAAGCCCATTTCTTGTGTCCCTGATGTGATATTGCTGGAATATTGCTGAAAGCAGCGAAAAACACAACTCACACACTCACACATTTTTTGGTGCAAGTCTCATTGTACTGTTCTCATATTTCTAATGTCATAGTATTTTTTATGGCAATGTCCATAGTTTAGGTGATGCAGTTTTTGGTCAAGTGGTCATCATCACTGTCACTGTTATCTGGAGGCCTATTAATATCTTTGTGGTGTTAGTGCTTGTTTATTTGTCTTATGGCTGATCTTGGGCATTACCGATACATGTGTCTGTGTGTTCCTCTACAGCTGGGCACGGTGGCAGTGCCCTTACCTCCAGGGGGTTTATACCCGGCAGTAGGGCTGCACTCGGAGGGTGAGGAGGTGAAGTTGACGCTTGACTCTGAATGGACATCGGAGGAGTGTATGCTGATGGCAGTGGACAGCGGGGAAGAGGAATGGACACGCCTACACGACATTAAGTTGAACGGCACGGTCAGTCTTCTGCTTCAACATATCCTTTCAATGAATGTTAAAATTATATCAAACCTCTCTTATTTGGTTTACACTAGATTCACATTTTCAGCTGACCGGTCTTTTTTCCATGTGCATAATGTGTCCATTGTAGACTTTCACATTTTCTGTATCTCCTGTGAATCCCAAAGGATTTGATGTTGAGACTTTGTATGGTTGATCCCGACAACACTGTCGGCCAAAATGTTCACAAAAGTCTGGCTCTATCATGATGTAAGTTGGAAGTTTAGTTTGCTTTCACTCATTTGAAACATCAATGAAATTGAGGAAAATGTCATTAAATCAGGTTCCTAAATGGTATTTTTCTTGTTGGTTTGATTCTGGGAATGGGTAAAGTTTGTCAGAACTGTCGTTTGGATAGTTAGACATTCAGCAATTCCTACTGGCACCATTGACCAGGGCCCGTTTCACAAAATGATCGTAACGTTTCGATTGTCGTAACTCTTATGGTTTACCATATAATTATGTCAGTCATAGCACTGTGTTCAGCTTTGTGTCTCCTGTTACAGATCCTGGAGTATGGTGGTCGGGGGAAGTGCATCAACGATGTTGGGCTGGCCCAGGCGAGATGTCCACTTGACACGACCTTCCACTACTTTGAGCTGGAGATCGTAGACCCAGGGGAGAACTGCTACATTGCTATCGGGGTGGCCAGGAGGGTAAGCAACCTTTCACAGCCCCTTCAGTTGCATAACTTTATCTTACAGACTATTCTTTTTAATGATGTTTAAGGTAATTGTATCTGAGACAGTTTCAGTACTGGGACACTGAGACAAAATGCTGCTGTATTTATAGGTTCAGGGGTTGATTTCTGTCCTTGTAAAGCTGTAATGAAACACATTGTCATATTTTGAAATATCACTACGATACATTAAATCTGACCTGTTCTCTGTCAGGTGAGATTGAATATTTTTTAACTTATCCTATCTCACAATTTCCACTTCTCTCTCTTGCTTCGACGCTGAGTGGAACGAATGAGAACTTTTCCTGTAGGCCTCTCTTGTCCATACGCCCGTGTTCCCCAGGATGCCCTCCTTATAGGACAGGTCCCTAGTCCCAGGCTAAGCGTGCAGCACGTTCCCCTGTCTACCCACACGTGACTACCTCAGAGTGATCATTCCTCTTCTTGTCGCTCCACTGTGTGGACGTATTGTGAGAGTTCTCAGCTTTCCTTACATATATCATGGGTAGTTGACTCTAAGGATCGTAATTTTGCGCACACTGTAACAATATTTACTTCCTCGGATCCCACTCGTCATGTGTGGGTTGTACTGACCTGTGTTCCTGAATGTTCTCCCTTATCAAGGACGTTTTTAGAGCATATAGACATGCTTGGCTCCCGTTGGCTGGCAGACAGAGCTCGTTACACTTCAACAGTTGATCACCCGACAAACCTCCGCTTTCAACGACCAGTATTAACTGCTCGTTGTCCGGAGATTCCCATGTTGGATGGTGATGATTTTATTGGCGCATCATCAGATGTCTACTCGTCGTTCCCGCCTCATCAAACCGCTGTGTTGCCAGCTGACTCACACAGCCGATCAACATCGTCAAATCGCCGAACCGATTCACCACACCAAATCGGTTCGCTATACCGAATGGATTCACCAGACCGAACCGTTTCGCCGCGGCGCATGTGGATTACGACATCGACTCAATTCGCCATAATATTGAGACTGTTATCGCCGAAACGGTTCACGTCATCGATTCGATTCACAGCACCGAAACGACTCGCCTCGCCGTAACGGCTCTCTTCACCGAAACGATTCACCTCGGCCGGACATTTCACCTCGCCTCACCGGTTCATCTGATCGTTCTAGATCACTCCATCAGCTGAGATCATTTAAACGTTTCGGATTACCGAACCAATCCAGATCACAGTCACAATCCAGCTCACAACGCCGATCCAGATCACGGACTGATTCAGATCACATCAATGTTCCGGCTCACCACCCTGAACCGATTTACCAGCCCGACTCGTACCGTTTCACCCGGCCGAACCACTTCCTATCGCCGAACCAGTTCATTTGGTCGTTCAAGATCACTGAATTGTCAGCATTCATTGAACTGTCAGCATTCGTCAATAATCCATTCCTCGGACCTTGCCAGCAATTGAGCTTATTCATGAATTGGGCGATTCACCACTCATGTTATTTCCAACACGGCGCTTCTTACCAGCCTATCAGAGCCTATCAATGGTAGTATCAATGTGTCTGGGATGCCTCCCAAGACACTTAACCCACATCGAACCTCGTCTTTATTTTCATGGTTCGGGATATGCCAGTCGCCTATAAGATGCAGGAATTGTTTTGGTTGATTCGACACACATGATCGCATGGTTCGCCGACCACCTACAGCTACCTAGAGCAAGATACTAGATGTTCTATTGATTACATTCAACATGAAGGATCGGGACTTGTCAACATTGGTTTTCCAAATCCTCAATGAGGTTTGGGAACTTGCATCTAGATTAGGGCCAAATTTGTCAATCCTAGTTTTGAGGGCATTTGTGAGGCGCTGAATTCCTCATTATGAAGTGGCAAGCTCTAAGCACGACAATTTGATTTGTTTATCCGGTTTACCTTTCAGGCTTGTGAGGCGTTTAATGTTTTTAGTCACATAACCTATCCCACCTTGTACCCCTTTTTCGGCTGGTTGAACAGAGGTAGTAGCTATGTGCTTCACCATGCCGAATCGATTTATATGTGATGTCAGTAGCACAGTCATCTAGACATATCACTCTCGGCACTTGACGGTCTGATGATCCCAGTTCTCAAGAGTCCTCCGTGACCGGGGCTCATCTTATTCCAGACTTAATCTACCATCCGATCTTCACCTTTGATGAATGATTCAGTTCAACGAATCTACCCTTCGGTGTAGATATCCGTTCTCCAACCACCCGATAGGGCATTACTAGATAAGATTGCTAGCCAGGAATACTTTACCACGCTTCACTGAGTCTTGTTACTACAGACTACTCGTATCAGCGTGTTTGTGTATCGCTGGGTGCAATTATTGCAGATGGTTCGTCATTTTCAGCTCCCTTTATTTTACATGATAAGCAAGTTTCTTAACAGATAACAGATGGGTCAAGTTTTGCGCATAGTACCAGCAGTGATGTTTTGTCAAATAGCCAGCATAGCTCTGCCCGGAATTTATGGGTTGCGACTCGCCCGGTTAACCAAAGACCTTGTTGTCCGTATTTTTGTCACTCGTGTGTAACGTTTGCAAAAGGCGGACTACTGTTTGTTTGATGATTAGAGTGACTATGAAGTGCCCTTGCAGACTTGTCTTGGTCCCACAAAATTGGATATCAAGTCCAGCCTCTAAATGCTAGTAACAATGAACGGTGCCATTCCCGGTAAGAGTGATTGTGTCGGGATTTTGACAGCCAGTCAAGAGAGACTGCTTATCAAGGGTGACAGACAGAAACACCCGTGAATGGTTTGACTTTTCCTGGGGTTACTCGGTTTTCTACACTAGTTCAAGCACTGAGTTCAGAGGTCACTGCAGTTATGCAAGGACTGTCACCAGGCAGTGATCTACTACCTTTATCACTCCACCTGGCGAACCATCATTTTCTTCGGCCAACCGAAACATTTGTGAGGTCGCCGATCGTACGAATTTCTTCAATTCATTTACAAAGTGAACGTTCCTGTAGATTGACTGACAATCTCCATGCGCCGAACATACTACATTCAGCGGACCGTTAGAACTGACATAGTAGCTCGACTTATTAAACGTTCTTATCTCAGGAGATATCTCTTTGTCAGAGGCAAGAGTTATTAGACCTCTCATTTCCCTCAACCTGCGAGACGCCTATCTTCATATCCCGATACATCTAGACTATCGGAAGTATCTTCGATTTACTTTCAAGGGGCGTCATTGATACCAATGGAGGGTCCTGCTGTTTGGCATATGTACGGCCCCGTGGCTTTTTACTCAGATACCCAATCTGATAACAAGCTACCTGCATTGTCGAGGCGTGACATTCTAGAACTATATTGACGACTGTGTTCAAGCCCAGCAGGATCCATTCGTCCTTCCTCTCCACAGGCAGTTCATCATCAAGTTGCTCGCGCAATTAGGATGGCTGCTGAATTCGGAGAAATCGGAGGTAACACTGACCCGGTGATTTCTTTTTATTGGGACAATATTCAACATGACAGGTCATGATGTTTGTGCCCCAGGAGAGGTGGGACAAGATTCAGTGCAACGCAGCACTAGTGCTGGTCCAACCCACAATCTTTTGCCAGTGGCAAAAGTTACTAGTGTGGTTGATGTTGGCACAAGAGCTGACTTACAGGGGCCAGCTGCAGCTTAGCCCTCTTCAGATGTTTCTGTGCCCATACATCCGGGACGACAACCCTAGGGAGTTGATTCGTCTTCCGCACAACTACATTCAGTCTTTTGTTGGGGGCTCAACAAGTGGAATGTTTGCGTTGGAGTCTCTATGGTGCACTTCATACCGACTCAACACCTGTTCGTCGACGCATCTTTCAAGGTGGGGAGCTCACTTTCTCCATTAAATGGACTATCAGAAAAAATGGTCATCAGGAGAAAGGGCCTTCATATCAACGAATCAGCACTGTTGTTCTCGCCGTTCGGCATTGGGCAGTTGAACTATGGTTCACTCATATACTGATTCAATCAGACATTTCGATGGTAATTTTGTACATAAACCATCAGGGGTCGACACGATCAGCAGCTCTGCTTCAGTTGATGTTTCGAATTTATCATCTGATAGGTTCACTCAACACAGTGGCCAGAGCCCGACACATTCCCAGGATGAGGAATGTCATTGCCGATGCCCTGTCACGTCTCAAACGCCTGTCACTCATGGAGTGGAAACAACTGCCTCTGATATTCCAATCGAAGATCTACCTATTATCATGACCAGAGGTAGACCTGTTCGCCACTCGGGACAACCATCAGCTTCTGCGCAGATGATCACCAGTTGCGATCGTTTCTGCTTTGTGTACAATCTGAATAAAATTCTGAATTTTATTTCTGATTTGTGTCTTCGATTCTTCTGGGACTTCGATTTCTCCTCTCAATTGAATTTGAGACTCTGGAGAGTCGCCACCTCACTTACTGTCGTCTGCTCTGTGGAGTAATTACATCAGTGAAGTGAGTCATTCCAGAAGTGTTACACTTCTTAGCGTTCATGCTCCTAAGTGCCTATACACATCTATGTGATCTTACTGTGGTAAGTAGTGGAAGTCATAAGATGATGTTGTGGTACTGAAGCGTTAAAATTGTGAGATTTCCGATTCAATTACCCTTTCACCCTCCTCGGGACGGTGTCTGTGGGGTTTGTTTCGAAGCAGGGGCTGGCCTGATACTAGTCATTAGACTTTTATTACGGGGGTACCTTGGAAATCGTGGTAATGCGACCGATTACACTCGCTAAGCTGCGTCCCTTCACTTTCGTGAAGGTAGTGACTGAACACCACATTGCTTGGGAGTCCCGGTCCCTTTGGAGCAATTGCGCTTGCTGACCTCTACTCCACGGAGCAATCACGTCAGTATAGTGAGTCCTTTCCGATTTCCTTATGGATTTCGTAGCGTTCAAGCTCCTAAGTACCGTAGCACATCGTTGTGACCTAACTGTGGTAAGTAGTGGAAGTCATGAGCGTTAAACTTGTGAGTTTTCCGATTCAGTTTCCTTTTCCCCTCTTCGTGATGGGGTCTAGGGGGCTGTCTCGAAGCAGGTAAGAGCCCGATTACTAGTTGTAATTACGGGGGTACTCTGATAAATCGTGGTGAAGCAAGGTGACTTGCCTAGTTGTGTTTTCTTGCGTATGCGAGGGTTGCTGCCGAAAACCACATCACTCAGGAGCACCCTCTCCTTGGGAGCGATGATGCCTAGTACGCCAAGAGGTTCAGGAGAACCCATCACTAGTATAGGTACTATGCTAGTCGGATCCTGCGGCTGAACACCACATTGCTCAGGAGCACCCTCTCCTTGGGAGCGATGATGCCAAGTAAGCCAAGGGGTTCAGGAGAACCCATCACTAGTATAGATACTATGCTAGTCGGATCCTGCGGCTCAGGAACACCACATTGCTCAGGAGCACCCTCTCCTTGAGGAGCATGATGCCAAAAGTAAGCCAAGATGAAAAACCCATCACCAAGTGGGAGCGATGATGCCAAGTAAGCCAAGGGGTTCAGGAGAACCCATCACTAGTATAGATACTATGCTAGTCGGATCCTGCGGCCGAACACCACATTGCTCAGGAGCACCCTCTCCTTGGGAGCGATGATGCCAAGTAAGCCAAGAGGTTCAGAAAAACCCATCACTACATCACTAGTCACATTGCTCAGGAGCACCCTCTCCTTGGGGAGCGATGATGCCAAGTAAGCCAAGGGGTTCAGGAGAACCCATCACTAGTATAGATACTATGCTAGTCGGATCCTGCGGCCGAACACCACATTGCTCAGGAGCACCCTCTCCTTGGGAGCGATGATGCCAAGTAAGCCAAGAGGTTCAGAAAAACCCATCACTACATCACTAGGATAGGTACTATGCTAGTCGGATCCTGCGGCCGAACACCACATTGCTCAGGAGCACCCTCTCCTTGGGAGCGATGATGCCAAGTAAGCCAAGGGGTTCAGGAGAACCCATCACTAGTATAGATACTATGCTGGTTGGATCCAGCGGCCGAACAGCACATTGCTAGGAGCACCCACTCCTTGGGAGCGATGATGCCAAGTAAACCAAGGGGTTCAGGAGAACCCATCACTAGTATAGGTACTATGCTAGTCGGATCCGGCCTCCCTTGTTCATTGCTATCTACGGTTGTCATTAGCCTATACAGTATATACTGTCAGTGCCTTTTGACTTAGGGTAATCTGTGACCCGCCGTCCAACCGTGGGATAAGTGCAAATCGTGAGATAGGATAAGTTTAAAAAATTTAAAATTTTAATATAAATTGTATATTTATATACTTATCCTATCTCACGAGATGGATGCGAAACCCAGCCTCCCCTCTACTCAGATTACGATGGTTATGTATACTGTCATTGGCTCCAAGAAGAGAATGATCACTCTGAGGTAGTCACATGGGTAGACAGGGGAACGTGCTGCACGCTTAGCCGGGGACTATGGACCTGTCCTCTAAGGAGAGCAGCCTGGGGAACACGGGCGTATGGACAAGAGAGTCCTACAGGAAAAGTTCTCATTCGTTCCACTCAGCGTCGAAGCAAGAGAGAGAAGTGGAAATTGTGAGATAGGATAAGTATATTAAATATACAATTGATATTAAAATTTTCAAGTGGCCTAAATAAAATATGATCAGATTTGTAAACTTCAGTAATACTATGAATGAAACATAACAAAAATTACAACTTTTTTTTAACCTTGTATTCTTTCTGTCAGTGAGTCATCAAACTTCATTTATGGTTGTAATATCTGGGAATGTTACATTGCAAAATTTGAACCAGTGTGAGTGAAATGTGTCATTGTGTTTCAGAACTATCCACGTCATCGACATCCAGGCTGGAACCGTGGGTCTATAGCATACCATGCAGGTGAGTTACAGGAACCATCAGTATACATCATACCCTACAATATAGATTCTTATATGTAGCATTATAACTTTCAAACTGGGATAAAATTATGTGATGTTTAATTTCAGATGATGGGAAAATCTTTGTTGGATCTGGAATTGGAGATCCTTTTGGCCCAAGATGCCACAAAGGTATGACACTGTTGTATCCCTGTTATCCTCCTACCTGTTTGGGGGTAATGCCTTTGTGTAACAAAAGTCCTATGGAATAGTGGATAGATTACAGCTCTCTGTTGATATTGTGTTATGTAAACACTGTAAAAGTATTGAGGATGAAATCCATATTGTCTATATTTGTAACCGCTATGAGGATATGCGTCGGCGTTACATTCCGAAAACGGTCCATGGATATTATTATTCACTCCGCAGCATATGTACATCATCCGACAATAACATCATAAATATTTTTGTCAAGTTCTTAGAACATGTTTGTTCTGCTCCTGTTAGCGTTGTTGTATGAAAATGGTAACCAAAATCACTATTGTACCACCTTGTACGATGGGTCGTATGGCCTTTATACAAAATAAACCCTTCTTCTTCTTCTTCTTTCTTCTTCCTTCTTTCTTCTTTCTTCTTCTTCTTCTTCTTCTTTCTTCTTCCTTCTTCTTTCTTCTTCCTTCTTTCTTCTTTCTTCTTCTTCAGGGCAGTAAGGAATTTACCCATTTATTACATGTTTTGCTGCAAAACGTGAGATGCATCTCCTTATGTGATGGTATGATTGTGCAGGTGACATCATGGGATGTGGAATCTACTTCCCCAATGACTACGACAGCGAGGCAGACAGTGATCTATCACCAGAAGATCCAGAAGACGACATTTCACTTGAGAATGATGAGTTGTCTTCAGACTCGGAGGAGGAGGAGGAGGAGGAGGGCTGGGCCCGCCACCCAGAGGACGTAGGAACTAAAGTTCAGGTAGATATGAACCAGATGTGAACCAGATAGGATCGTATAGATAAATGTATAACAGATAGGACAGTATTGGTAGAACCAGAGATGGCAGTATGGGTAGACATGAACCAGAGATGGCAGTATGGGTAGATATGAACCAGAGATGGCAGTATGGGTAGATATGAACCAGAGATGGCAGTATGGGTAGATATGAACCAGAGAGGACAGTATTGGTATAGCCACAGATGGCAGTATGGGTAGATATGAACCAGAGAGGACAGTATGGGTAGATATGAACCAGAGAGGGCAGTATTGGTAGAACCAGAGAGGGCAGTATGGGTAGACATGAACCAGAGATGGCAGTATGGGTAGATATAAACCAGAGAGTACAGTATTGGTAGAACCAGAGAGGGCAGTATGGGTAGATATGAACCAGAGAGGACAGTATTGGTAGAACCAGAGATGGCAGTATGGGTAGATATGAACCAGAGAGGACAGTATTGGTAGAACCAGAGATGGCAGTATGGGTAGACATGAACCAGAGAGGACAGTATTGGTAGAACCAGAGATGGCAGTATGGGTAGACATGAACCAGGGAGGACAGTATTGGTAGAACCAGAGATGGCAGTATGGGAGATGGCAGTATGGGTACAGTATTGTACCAGAGATGGCAGTATGGGTAGACATGAACCAGAGAGGGCAGTATGGGTAGATATGAACCAGAGAGGGCAGTATTGGTAGAACCAGAGAGGGCAGTATGGGTAGACATGAACCAGAGATGGCAGTATGGGTAGATATAAACCAGAGAGTACAGTATTGGTAGAACCAGAGGGCAGTATGGGTATGAACCAGAGAGTACAGTATTGGTAGAACCAGAGATGGCAGATATATGGGTAGATATGAACCAGAGAGGGCAGTACAGTATGAACCAGAGATGGCAGTATGGTAGAACCAGAGATGGCAGTATGGGTAGAGTATGAACCAGAGGAGGTAGAACCAGCAGTATGGGTAGACATGAACCAGGGAGGACAGTATTGGTAGAACCAGAGATGGCAGTATGGGTAGACATGAACCAGGGAGAGGACAGTATTGGTAGAACCAGAGATCACAGTATGGGTAGACATGAACCAGGGAGGACAGTATGGGTAGATATGTACCAGAGATGGCAGTATGGGTAGATATGTACCAGAGATGGCAGTATGGTTAGATATGAACCAGAGATGGCAGCGTGGGTAGATATGTACCAGAGAGGGCAGTATGGGTAGATATGTACCAGGGAGGACAGTATTGGTAGATATGTACCAGGGAGGACAGTATAGGTAGTTATGTACCAGGAAGGACAGTATGGGTAGATATGTACCAGAGAGGGCAGTATGGATAGTTATGTACCAGGGAGGACAGTACTGGTAGATGGCAGGAAGTTTGATGTGGGAAGATATGTACTATAGAGAACCCTATAGTGAAAAATGTACAAGGTAGAGTGGCCATGGTAGTGTGAATGAGGGGATATATCTTTTCAGCAAGTAGCTGTCTAAATATTCTAATAAGTTTATTCTAAGATAAACAATAACAATTGATTGATACATCACTCTCAGTAATTTTGAAATCGTTGTTTTCTCCGAAATATTGAGTTACCTCCCTTGTTGCAGGTATTCTTCACAAGGAATGGCAAGATGGTTGGGAAGAGACAGGTGGCAATACCACGAAGGGGATTCTACCCAACAATAGGAATGCTGAGTAGCTGTGAGAAAGTGCGAGTTGACCTTCGACCCCTCACTGGTTGACCTTCACCTACATTAGATGTACAGAGAATGCAAGATATGATGGTTGTTTGGAAGCCAAATTTGTGAAAAAAATCCGGTTTTCCCGAGGCTTATCTTTGGTTGACCAACATGTTCATCACATAGACATAAAGGGCACGAGAGAAAGTAGTTTGCAGGGGTGATTCATATCAGTGTGAGTGTCTTTCTGGTGACATCAGTCAAACCTAGATCTGGTCAGTACAAAGCTGATGTAGTTATTATACTTACGATTGTGTGATTGTGCCTGCTGCTGCACTGGTAGCTACACTGATAGTGCCTACTGCTGCACAGGTAGTTATACTGATAGTGCCTGCTGCTACACTGGTAGCTCCACTGATAGTGTCTGCTGCTACACCGGTAGCTACACTGATAGTGCCTGCTGCTGCACAGGTAGTTATACTGATAGTGCCTGCTGCTACACTGGTAGCTCCACTGATAGTGTCTGCTGCTACACTGGTAGCTCCACTGATAGTGTCTGCTGCTGCACAGGTAGTTATACTGATAGTGCCTGCTGCTACACTGGTAGCTCCACTGATAGTGTCTGCTGCTGCACAGGTAGTTATACTGATAGTGCCTGCTGCTACACTGGTAGCTCCACTGATAGTGTCTGCTGCTACACCGGTATCTACACTGATAGTGTCTGCTGCTACACCGGTATCTACACTGATAGTGTCTGCTGCTACACTGGTAGCTCCACTGATAGTGTCTGCTGCTACACTGGTAGCTCCACTGATAGTGTCTGCTGCTACACCGGTAGCTCCACTGATAGTGTCTGCTGCTGCACAGGTAGTTATACTGATAGTGCCTGCTGCTACACTGGTAGCTCCACTGATAGTGTCTGCTGCTACACCGGTAGCTCCACTGATAGTGTCTGCTGCTGCACAGGTAGTTATACTGATAGTGCCTGCTGCTACACTGGTAGCTACACTGAGCTCCACTGGTATCTACACTGATAGTGTCTGCTGCTACGGTATCTACACTTCGATAGTGTCTGCTGCTACACTGGTAGCTACACTGATATGTCTGCTGCTACACTGATAGTGTCTGCTGCTACACCGGTATCTACACTGATAGTGTCTGCTGCTACACTGATACACTGGTATCTACACTGATAGTGTCTGTCTGCTGCTACACTGGTAGCTCCACTGATAGTGTCTGGCTATCTACACTGATAGTGTCTGCTGCTGCACAGGTAGTTATACTGATAGTGTCTGCTGCTACAACAGGTATCTACACTGATAGTGTCTGCTGCTACACCGGTATCTACACTGATAGTGTCTGCTGCTATACTGGTATCTACACTGATAGTGTCTGCTGCTACACCGGTATCTACACTGATAGTGTCTGCTGCTACACTGGTAGCTACACTGATAGTGTCTGCTGCTACACCGGTAGCTCCACTGATAGTGTCTGCTGCTACACTGGTAGCTCCACTGATAGTGTCTGCTGCTACACCAGTATCTACACTGATAGTGCCTGCTGCTACACTGGTAGCTGCCACTGATAGTGTCTGCTGCTGCTGTATCTACACTGGCTAGCTGGTATCACTGATAGTGTCTGCTGCTGCTACACCGATAGTGTCTGCTGCACACGGTATCTACACTGATAGTGTCTGCTGCTACACGGTATGCTACACTGATAGTGTCTGCTGCTACACCGGTAGCTATACTGATAGTGTCTGCTGCTACACCGGTAGCTCCACTGATAGTGTCTGCTGCTACACTGGTAGCTACACTGATAGTGTCTGCTGCTGAACAGGTAGCTCCACTGATAGTGTCTGCTGCTACACCGGTAGCTACACTGATAGTGTCTGCTGCTACACTGGTAGCTCCACTGATAGTGTCTGCTGCTACACTGGTAGCTCCACTGATAGTGTCTGCTGCTACACCGGTAGCTACACTGATAGTGTCTGCTGCTACACTGGTAGCTATACTGATAGTGTCTGCTGCTGCATAGTGTCTGCTGCTGCACAGGTAGCTCCACAGATAGTGTCTGCTGCTACACTGGTAGCTATACTGATAGTGTCTGCTGCTACACCGGTAGCTCCACTGATAGTGTCTGCTGCTACACCGGTAGCTCCACTGATAGTGTCTGCTGCTACACTGGTATCTACACTGATAGTGTCTGCTGCTGCACAGGTAGTTATACTGATAGTGTCTGCTGCTACACTGGTAGCTCCACTGATAGTGTCTGCTGCTACACCGGTAGCTCCACTGATAGTGTCTGCTGCTACACCAGTAGCTCCACTGATAGTGTCTGCTGCTACACCGGTAGCTCCACTGATAGTGTCTGTTGCTACACCGGTAGCTATACTGATAGTGTCTGCTGCTGCACTGGTAGCTACACTGATAGTGTCTGCTGCTACACTGGTAGCTACACTGATAGTGTCTGCTGCTACACCGGTATCTACACTGATAGTGTCTGCTGCTACACTGGTAGCTACACTGATAGTGTCTGCTGCTACACCGGTAGCTACACTGATAGTGTCTGCTGCTACACTGATAGTGTCTGCTGCTACACTGGTAGCTCCACTGATAGTGTCTGCTGCTACACTGGTATCTACACTGATAGTGTCTGCTGCTGCACTGGTAGCTCCACTGAGTACACTGAAAGTGTCTTCAAGTTCCAGTAGTTGTAAGTGTACCAACTGTGTAATGGAAAGAGAAATTGTCCACCTAGATATGTCAAAAGTGTTTCCAGAATCTTACCATGAACTCAAGCAGACTTAACTTACTTTGGAATCCTGATAGAAGCTCTATCTCGAAACTAGTAGGTATCAGTCTAGGTTTGACAAATGTCTTGTACCGTGATCTATGTCTCCCCCCCCCCATGTTGGCCATTATGCTGCTCAAAATGTTTGTGTTCTAATGTGTTTGTTCTTTTAGTTGTTTTTTTGTTCCAATGGTGACGGTATTATTTGTGTTGCCGAGCAACAGGATGATGGCAATGGTTAAGTTTTCCCCTATTTCCGGTGCTCATCTTTCCAATAACACTGCATAAACTGTTATTTAACTTGCAGTTTCTGCCTGACTTTCTCTGTGATTTATGTGTGTTACCATGGTTACTTATTTATTGTAGTGTATAAACATAGTTTAACATTACTAATACTTACCTAGTTTATTTGTGTGTTATGTATTCATTTCAGATGAGTTATTATGTTTGAATAATGTTTTTGTTGTTTCTTATAATTGTGTGTATATAAGGCATCGAAAACAATGTTGTTGTTCATAAACTGTCTCTAGTGTATTGGTTCTGCGTTTATGACCTAATCTTTCAAGTGAAAATACTCAGCTTTAGTGTGACAAGCTAACAAGCCCATGACAATGACAGAACATTTGGCCCAGTGGTCTCACTAAGCATAAGGACTCGCTGGGATCCTCTGATATACCCTGACCACCACCAGTTTGTTAACATCACTGATCCACAATGTCATATGAGTGACTCAGATACTGTTAAGTGCTAGAGTTTAATCTTTGAGCTACAACATTCTGTTTTCATGCCTTCTCGCTGAATTATGGGTAGTTGATGTACATGTGTTTTATTATGTGTTTTTACGAACAAGTGGTTTGTAGTAACCTATTGACCAAAACCCTTGACTTAAAGTGAAAAATGTTAGCATAAATATATCTGTTATGGTGCTTTGATACCCCAAATATTCAGGTTTTAGAGGAATATCAACATTTATTATTGTTCGATTGTAGTGGCAAAGATATTTTAATATTTTGTCATGTTAATATTTAGAAAGACTATCCAGTCAATGTCTTATTCCCCTTGAATATAACATTTTTAGCTGTTAATCATTTGAGATAACAAAAGCTTTCTTTAGCTGGTAGGCCATGGTGTTAGCCATGCTACATGTATTATTCATAGTTATGTGTTTACATTGGAGGCACGGGGAAATGCTCAGATATAAGAAGTGTAAATATGTAAACAACCAAGTGATTTGTAACTACCGCCATTTTTTAAAAATCTTCAGGATTATGAACCGTCTCATCTTAAAGTTCTGAAATCTTGAATCCAATTTGTGAAGACGTCCTTTTACTATTTCTGAGTTTCTTAATTAATTTCAGCCTTGATGAATTGCATCAGACCAGCTAAGCTTTGATAGCTTTGTAACCCTTTGACCTTTTTTGACACTCCCTGCAAAGTTTTCATAACCTTATTATTTATCTCTCAACCACTGACCCTGTGGTTCTGGAAACAAACATCTGTATGCCAAGTGATGAAAAGTGGATGCAGGTGATTGTGTATAGTCTATACTGAAACCTGAATTACAGTACTGTATATATCTCAGTCAGCTCACCCTAGATGAAGCCTTTTACATACTGACCCCTGTCTACATGCATTCCGTGTGGTACTAGGTTGGTAACACTGAAAGAGTCTGTATCCTCAGTATGCAACACAAATATATGCACTATTCCTGGGACCTTCACAGAGACTGTGTGCTGCATGAATGAGACGGGCAGCTGTGTGTGGAATAACTGGTGCATGTTCTGGTTGTGATTTCAATGTTACTTTTGAATGGTCACATGATTATTGACATGTGACTTGTCATGTGATTTACACTTGCCATGTGATTCTTATTGTGTAACTTGTCATGTGGTGTGTCATGTGACTTGTGTTTCTCATGTGATTATTGATCCTTGATTGTCTTTACAGCTGAGGCAGTAGATCTCTCATTGTGGTCATGTGACAATCACCTATGTTTCAAGATGGCTGCCGTGGAAGCCATATTGATTCTTGATCTCTGGTCAGTAAGTCATCAAGGATCAGTTCAACTACCGGTGCTTATGTGATTTCTGCACTGCGCTTTCCCCAGTTGAAGTGACGCCTCATCTACAGGATACTGTTTGTATAAAACATAATTGAACATTAGTGAAGCCTCAATCATCGAAGAAAGTTTTTTTACCAACTCTGTTTTCTTAAGTAGCATGCCAAGAAACTTTACACGTCCTTTGTCAAACGCTCTTCATTGTTCTGCCTTGTGGTGTTTGTGGATCAGCATTATCTTTATCTAGCATTGAATGACACAAATAGACGTTTATATATACTTAATTCCAACCTCTCATTTAAAAGAACAATGGTGAACCAACTCACTCAAAATAGCTAGTTACTCTGAACTACCAATTAGTCAATATTTACACAAAACAGCCTCTAGGGTTGTTAGAAGGATCATTATTGTCATGAGTGAACATGTATCATTCATTCGTCATCATCAACATAATCATCAATACATTGGAGATGGAATGAAAGTAAGGACAGCAAGTCAAGGTTCATTCTGTTCAGTGTGCTACTTCACTGTTACCTGTGCACAGAGAACCAGCTGTTATCAGTGTCTCTATGAACAGTTTGGTTGAATCAGTTAGACCTTTGGAGCTACCATGGTCTTAGTGCTAAGATGGTTTTGTGGACTTATCAAGTAAAATAGGGACTAATAACTACAATGGTATTCTTCCCGGTGGACTTGCATCTAAGTCAGGTGTTTTGGGTTGTTTTTTTTCATTTTTATGTTTTACTTATAAAAATCAGTTATAATGAAGTCCAGGTCAGACTGAAAGGATTTTCTCTAAGTGAACACCAGAACAGCTTGCTGATCATTTCGGTAGATGGCTGTCTGAGGAGCAGGTGTATGTAGGTGTATATAAACAGGTGTGCTGTGTGATTGTTGTGTGGGACAAGGAGATGATGTTGTTCATTCACTGTTGTCATGCTTATGTCACCTCTTCAAAATAACGCAAGTATTATCAAGTGTATAGTTTACTGCCTTCAAAGGTGGAGTCGGATGAAGACAGTTTGAAAGAAAAATGTACATTTATTCAAGATATTAACATGTTAATGTAGTGTTTAGCAATATTTGGGCTGAATACAAGATTAAGTCTCTGTGAATTCATCAACTTCTTTGACTTATATGTTTTTCATGTGTCAGTTATTTTGTGTACCATGAATGAGAGAGACATTAGATTAATGGTGATATGTTTGGTTCCAATGTTGCATGTTCTACCAGTTCTTCATCTGTTACTCGTTGTTACTGTGTTATGTATATATCTTGTACATATGCTAATTTCAAGCTGAGTTGTGCATAATTACATTTTGTTGCTGACCTTGTGCTTGACATTGGTATTGTTTGGGGGAGAAAGGGGGATAACTGTTTGCTGTGGTTTTAAGGTGGGGATAACTCTTGTATTTCATGATATTCATGAAGTGGTTATTTGTGCCTCGTGAGTCGCGACAGACAGGTCTTCTCATGCTTTAATCAACACCTCAACCAACTGGTTCCCTGTCCTGAGGTCGGCATCATGTACTACAGGAGATTATTTAAGTCTGATCGAAGTGTCTTAGCTTTAACTTAAAGACGTGGTATAATTTGGTTATTGACATATCTTTCTAAGTTCCAGCTTTGTTTGTTTGGAACAGTTTAAGGTTTTGATAATTTATCTGTGCTGACAGATAGTATTATGCCTCAGAGCATCTGCCAATTATCTGTATGACGTGAACAATGGTAATCTTCATTTATGTGAATTGTTAATTCAGTATCCATATTAATAAATTTGAATTGCCATAAAAAAAATCAGCTACACATCATTATGTCAATGTACAATGCCATACCTATTTAACACTTCTCTTGCAACCACATCTGTAAAAATGATCTTGCCTGATACCATGGAAACACAAACCTGTGTTTGCTGGCATCCAATTTTTTGGTTTTTCTTTGTTTCCTTTAGAATCTTCATTTAAAAGCTCATCACCATATATACATGAAAATAATACTGATGTGACATGTAATTTTGACTCGCTTGTTTGAAAGCTTTTTTGATAAAAAGCTGTACAGACAGTTTTTGAACACCAATGTTTCCTAATTAAACATGAAAGTGAGGGCATCTCGTCACTATATGTTTTATAATTTACATTTAGTGGGTTGTTGGATTCAGATACTACAATACGACACCAGGAGCCCCTTAGCCTACACTATGTATGTTAATGGCTATTTTTTGCATTGAAAGTGACAGAGACACTAAAACAAGTTGTTTCCAAAGAACTTTAATGAGTTAATGGTGGTCTGTGTGCATCAGGTGGCATTTGCTGATGGACTTCTGTCTCAGCAGTGTCAGATGTATGTGAACATATCAGTATGATGACATCTAGGACATTAGTCAGTACATTTTGATTACTACTTTGAGCTATTTTTGAAACAGACTTGTATAAACGTATTGAGTGATGTTGGTTAAAGGACGTTATTAATGCCCTACATCTTCCTACTGTCGGTATATATTTTATGAGTCATTTGATAGCACCACTGATGGTAGAGTCATTCTTGATTTGACACTTGTGTACGTCATCTGACTCTGCTTCTTCTGTTGTTGTGGTTCAACAACAGAGAGTGAGATGAAGTTTTTGTGGGGACGACCAGCTCCTGTTGCTGTGGTACAACAGAACAAAGGTCTGATGTTGTTATGCCTGTACTACCTGAGTGTCAGGACACGTTGTTATCAATTGGAATGCCAGCACATACTATATGAGTACAAGAGATTTAATAAAGCTGCTTTCTAAGAAATGTTTTTATGTTTTGTTTTCTGTTGCTGTTCAGAAATGCATACCGGTTACTATGAGTCACTTGTATGACAAGCGTGTGTCGTGGGAGTGCTCTGCTCTCCTTGGGGGCGGTCGGGTAGCCTAGTGGTTAACGCTGGAATATTGCTAAAAACGGCGTAAAACTAAACGCACTAATTTCTCTCCTTTTGGAGGACCCACATTGGCTACAGTGGATCATTTTGGATTGAAAACTCCAACTGATGCCACGCTCTCCACTTACCTTCAATTACTGTACAAACAAAATCACTTCTTAGAGGAATAAACAAAACGCTTTCGTTCTCGGTCACGAGAAGGCATTTTCTTCTGTATCGTAACACTTGTTCTTACTAGGACTTAGTCTTTTCCTGAGGACACCTTTAAGCCAGATGATTCAACAATCAAACACATCACATGATTCAACCACGGAGGAAGAGTTTACATGAACTATTAGAGCGTGCAGGTTATAAGGAACGAGTACCAAAACTGGAGAATATCACACTCTCCCGTCATACACACACTCTCCCGTCATACACATAACACTGAATCCTCCCTCAAAGTTCCTTTATGCTAATCTATGGCAGGTGTTTCATTTGAAAAGCCCATACTCAGACGCAAACCGAAATGGCTTGAATAAGGACAATATCAACAAGTGTATGTTGAATATCAGTTTGTACATACACTGGGCTGCTGCCGGCATTTGTCACATCAACGCTCCAGCTGACCACAACACAGGGCTTCACTAGGTACACATGACCTTGCGGCAAGGCAGATATATTTATGGAGACGCACAAAGCTCCTTCCTGCCACGTCCTACGACAGGTGAAGATTTCTTGCGATCTTGTTAAAAAGCCCAGTCACGAGGATGTACAGAGAGACGGCTAGAATTAGACATCTGTGTAATGTCAGCAGTCAGATGTTGAATATCTGGTCATTACAGATAAGATGTGGTTGGTTGGTTCGTTGTTTAACACCGCACTCAGCAATATTACAGCAATATGGCGGCGGTCTGTAAATAATCGAGTCTGGACCAGACAATCCAGTGATCAACAGCATGAACATCGATCTACGCAAGTGGGATACGATAACATGTGTCAGCACAGAAGCCCTTTGTGGGTGAGATTTGTTTTACGTGGCTTTAAACAATAATCCGGCAAAACAAGACGACTGAGAATGCACTTCCCGGATTGTATGTCTAAATGTTTAGGACTTCGGCTCCTGCTGCCCTCAGTGTGACACTCGCCAACTTGGTGAAGCTTTAAATCCAAACAAGACAAAACCTTTAACTGGTTAGGTTAACTGCAATTATTGATCTAACTGACCAGTTTAGACTGCGATGTTGCTGGAACCTTGTTATATAAACTGCTTTTAGTATGCATTCTGATCTATCAGA